AAAATCATTAGGAGTTAGTGAAGAGCATAGCCATGTTTGGGCATGGGGCGGGGGCAAGACAAAAGAGACCATTTGGTGACAGTCAACAAAAAAACCCTGTAGATAACAACAATATGGCAGTGGAATGCTGGGTGGCTTTTCTTGGTGCTTAAAAATATATTCTTTTTCTCAACAAAACACTTGGTAATTAGACAGCCATGACCTCTGGAATAGCTATCATTTGTAGGAACAAAGGAGGCACCAAGCTGCTTAGCCATTCCATGCAATTAATCAAAGTGTTCCCCACCTAAACATGAGGGACACACATTTGCCTTGCCTTGTGTTTCGTTTAACTTTTGTCTCCCACTGTCCTTGGGCTAATCTTTGTGATTGTTATTTTTGTGCTGGTTCCTTGTAGTCTCCAAGTTTAGCGTTTTTAATTCATCCATGCTGAATCTGAGACGTTGTACCTGGGCACTTCTATGCATGAATATCCCTGTAATTTTGATAACATCATCCATTAGGAAATGCAACTTGACAAGAGTTTATTAGAGAAACTCTACTTCGCACACTTTAATATGGCATCCTCTATAGGTAAGGGTGGGACGCAGGTGGCGCTGTGGGTAAAACCTCAGTGCCTAGGACTTGCCGATCGTATGGTCGGCGGTTCGAATCCCCGCGGCGGGGTGAGCTCCTGTCTTTCGGTTCCAACTCCTGCCCACCTAGCAGTTCGAAAGCACCCCTAAGTGCAAGTAGATAAATAGGTACCGCTTTATAGCGGGAAGGTAAACGGCATTTCCGTGTGCTGCGCTGGTGCTGGCTCACCAGAGCAGCTTCGTCGCGCTGACCACGTGACCCGGAAGTGTCTCCGGACAGCGCTGGCCCCCAGCCTCTTAAGTGAGATGGGCGCACAACCCTAGAGTCGGACACGACTGGCCCGTATGGGCAGGGGTACCTTTACCTTTATAGGTAAGGGTGGGACGCGGGTGGCGCTGTGGGTTAAACCACAGAGCCTAGGCTTGCCGATCAGAAGGTCGCCAGTTCGAATCCCTGCGATGGGGTGAGCTCCTGTTGCTCGGTCCCTGCTCCTGCCTACCTAGCAGTTCAAAAGCACCTCAAAGTGCAAGTAGATAAATAGGTACCACTCTGGTGGGAAGGTAAACGGTGTTTCCGTGCGTGGCTCTGGTTCTCCAGAAGCGGCTCAGTCATGCTGGCCACATAACCTGGAAGCTGTATGCCGACTCCCTCGGCCAATAAAGTGAGATGAGCTCTGCAACCCCAGAGTTGGCCACGACTGGACCTAATGGTCAGGGGTCCCTTTACCTTTACTTTATAGGTAAGGGTGGAGAAAATGAATGCTGGCATACTCCACCACAATGACACAATACATTGTGACATGGCTCCAAGCATGGGTGCTCTGCATAGCTTACCCACTTATTTTTTAACCGCTGTGACACATCTAAGTTATAAATGTGGTGGGACCATGCAACCATTCATGCTTTCCCACAATAGCTACATAGAGCCTCTTTATGTAAAGCAGTGGTGACATGAAATAGAGGAGATAGTGCCAGGATTGTGGATGAGCTAAGATTAGCTTCCACCAAAACTAATTTGCTGATGAAATTAACATGGCTGGCATCCTGAAAACGCCCCCCACAATATTCATGGAAACCTATGGGGGAGAATGGGATTGTGCCCACTAGCCATGCTCCCAATGACAAGATGCACATTCCCTATCCACATACAAATGTGCACACATAGAAATTCAAAAGGAGTGGTCGTTTTGGCCAGTTAGGGTCCCTTGTTAGCACTTATCTATGAATAATGCCTCTTCAGACCAAACTGGGTCTGTGTGTTCTGCCACTAGGAATGTAGGCAGCAACTGCATTTGTGTCGAGGGGTGCGGTCAAGGAGTGTGATTCCATATCCCTCACGCAACTGATGACTGCCTTCGAAGAAGCTCAGTGGTTTCATGAATAGGTTCACAGGTGCAATCACATTTAAAAACACACAAACATTAATACACACACAATTATAGAGGAGGTGCACAAGGGAGAAAAGTCAAAAGCTAGGCTTCAATTAAATAGGAAGGGAATGGAGACAGATACAGTACTAAAAGAATGTGAAAAGAGAACGTATACACAGTAATATAATTGTTTTTTTCATCATGAGTTCTTGGGTCTGGAAACACCCAAACCACAGTCCCGATGTGGTAAATCAAGAGATATTTACTTGGCATTACTTTCCTATCTTGTAATCATTGTATGATAAGCAGTGTGACCACAGTTTCATTCTAAGGGAAAATGGCACGAACTAGAGAAATTTCACACTTTTAATCTTGAACTCTCTTTTTGACTTTGTCGGAAATGCATAAATGCTGTGCAGGGACACACATGCTCCACAATTGAAAAGCCCTGCCTGGCAGACAGCAATGGCTTTCTTATCGGGCTTGACCACATGGCCAGTTTCAGTGCCAAAGTATATACATTTCCAGAGCACTGCTTGGAGAACAATACAAAAGTTGGTTGTCCCTCTTCCAAATGTCCATATACTGCAGTCAGTGTCAGCTCATTTTTCCTTCTCGGATTGTGTGTATGATTCTGTTCTGCTTCCCCAGCATTTTTCTTTGTTTTCTAAGTGTTGAACATTGCCATGAAGGCTGGCTTATCTGCAGCATGGGAGGCATGAACACCATTCCTGAAATGGTTGTGGCCCTCCTCAGTACTTTTTCTTGAGTCCATTTTAATTGTCCACCCTGGGTCAAATGGTCTCACTGTGTTGCCCTTATCTACGGTTTGGCAATAGCAAGCTTTAGATATGGCTCATTACAGTTATTAGCAACGGCTGTGCTTCCTAAAGTGTTAACAACCTTTGGCTTCCCCTCCTGATGGTTCGCAGACTAGCAGGTCATTAACCACTGGAAACGACCATGTTTCTAAAAATTATATTCTAAGCTTTGGAATCCACACAGATTGTACAAACAACGTGTCCTTTGTCATTTTTCTAAAAAATTAGATGGACTCCCTCTCTTTTTTAACACAAGGCAGCCCAATTCTTTAATCCCTAAATATTTCAGTTTATATCCAACTCAGTTGTACTCAGTTATACCACTTCAACAGTCATGGCTTCCCCCTAATGAATCCTGGGAGCTGTCGTTTGTTATGGGTGCTAAGAGTAATTAGATACCTAGTTCCTTCACTGTTAAGGTTCTGAGCGTGGTTTAACAATCAGTCCCTCTTCTGAGGGAACTTTGGGGATTCTAGCTCTTTTTGGAGGCGGGGATAGAGATCTCCCAAATACTCTCAGCACCCTTAACAAATGACAGCTCCCAGGATTCTTTGTGGCATAAATAGTGCTTTAAATGTATGTTGTTGCTGTAGCCCCAGACACCCAAATCCACTGGAATCACTACCAACTCTGCTAGGTAAGCCCATTAGGGCCCACTGATAATGAAACCTCGAACTGACCTTGCAACAAGTGAAACCCAAATTCGTATTCCAGGAGAATGTGGTAGGATCTCTGTGATGATCTTGATGTCTGGAGATATCAAGTGAGTTAGGACTCTGGCTTGTGTTCCAACTTGGAAGCAATGAAGGCAACTACTGCATGAAACTTTGAGGAAATGCTTCTGCAGCCTTGGCAGGATTTCCACTGCACCACCCTTTACTCATCTGCCTGCTAAGGTTGCCAACAAACCGAAGCAAGTGGTTCACCCTGCTCTTGGCACATTTTACAAGAGTTTGGATGCTTTTTACACAATGGAAATAAGCATTATCACCTTCCTCAATGGTTGGTTGAAAAGCTGGCAGGACTACTCTTCTTTGACCTTCCTCCAGAGTCAAGCTTCCACGTGGTGCCTTCTTCCTTAAGGAAGAATCTCACTGTTCAACTTCCCTCACCAAAAAAGCAGAAGGATCTGCAGGTTTGGATGTACTTCCACCATGCGGTCATTTTACAGCAGGATGGGTCACATGGAGGGAACCCACATGCAGTGCAGTCCTGTCCGTGTCTACTTAGAAGTAAGCCCCATTGAGTTCAAGTGGGACTTATTCCCAGGGAACATTATGCGATGTTTCCAGAACTGCCATTTCAGGTGATTCAAGACCATTTTTTGTTCCTGATCCATTTCACCCATGCAAACACATTCTTGCGATATTAGAATTCTCATGTTTGTGATTCAGTTTTCAGCTTGCGATTTGCTCCAAAGTGCTTCATATTTTCATTCACATTACAGGGCTGCTGAAAGATTTTTGGAGCAGTATCTCATTATTCAAAGCTTGTTTGGACAAACCCTTTTATTGCTCTGCCTCCTTTTTTTCAAAAGGAGTAGGTTATATTTTTTTAAAAATGTTTTAAGCCCTTTCATTTCTGATGCATATAAAATGTAATGCCTTTGGTAGGCCTGTACAGTCTTGTCATCTCTGCTTCTCATGTGGGATGAGAGAAAAATATTTCATATACCTTCCAGTGCATTATTGATTTGCGGTTTTCTTAACAACTGTAATTAAACTGTGCTGGGTCTTCTCTGTTAGCATATTTGATTCTGAATTTGTGGAACAACTTTATTCCTTTCATTGCTGAAAGAGCCTTATGGGATTGAATATGCTAGTGCTTGTAATGAATTTATAAGCTCCTAATTCTCGCCGTCCTCACTGTCATTCTTACAAGCTCAGGAATCAAAATGTGTGGTATGAGGGAGGGTAAGACAAGACTGGAAGTTTCATAGTTGAATACAGATTTTTATCACTGCACTTTTGAACAAAAATTACTATATAAATTACTATTATTACCCATTTCCTTAATTCACAGATTACCATTAGTTACCATTAGTTGTCCAATGGTCTTGTCCCCTTTCACTGTCCACATGGAGGGTGCTGAATGTTCACATCAGGGAATTTTCTCTTCTTGTGCAGGCTCCCTGTATAGAACCCTGATTATGTAGATTTAGAACTGTGATTCCATGTGTATGGAACGAGTATGGAATGAGTATCCCCTGAAGACGTTCTGCACCCAATATGTGGATGGCAACAGGGAGGACACAACAGAATGAACAGGCTGGACAGTCTCAACCTCCTACTTTGCCTTATTACATGAGAGGTATGTAACTGGGGCTGCAAAACAATGATAGATCTCAACTATGTGTTCATAGTCCTGTGAAAAGAATAAAGGGGGGTTCCTATGTGATCTGTAATAAGGAGTGAGCTATAGCAGGTGCAACTGGAGTTGGAACCACCTGTCAATTTCCATCCCTCTCAATTTCTCTAATATTCAGTTCTCCACATTTCTGCAGCAATTTGTGATTCTTTCCACAACCCCCTCCCCACAAACCCTCATGATAATTCATCAGCATTTAGTATGAATTTCTCCTTATAAACACATTTTTCCCATGCAGTTCTGATTATCATTTTTGCAAGCCCTGTCCCCATAACGCAATGCTTTTTTATATGTTATTTTCATGAATATAGACATTTTAATGCACACGTCCCCTAATATGTGCACTTTTGTACACACATTTTGGTTGGAGAACTGCACCACTAAAAGTGTGAACTGTGAAGAACAGTTGGGGCTAGAGCTGTGCATTTGCTCAAGAAATGTAGTTTCCTGTTAAAAATGCAAACAAAATTAAATTTCCCCCCTTTCCCTGGGTGCAATGCAGCTTGCAGGGAAAGGTGGGGGAGGCAGTTTGTTGACTTGGCAGAATACAAGCCTTCCTCCCCTCTTGGGCTGCAGCAGTGGGTACAGATGAGTTTCATGCTGCCCAGCTGTTACATATCCTTAAGTGGAGAGGCATTTATTCCCCATTCACCAAATTCAGAGCAATTCCCAACCAGCAATCTCTGGTCCTGCAGCCCATAAATTGATAAGCATGCACATAGGCATGCTTTCAACGTAAGGTATGAACAAGTTTCCTCATAGCTTTGTACTTAATTGATTCATTTGTCATATTTATAGTTTGCTATATACCTAAAAGTCTCAGGGTGGGAAAGCATTAGTTGTTGTTTTTTAAAAAAAATTACAATAAACCCAACATTTCAGTAAAATGTGCAACGAAAACACTATACAGGTGATATATAAACCTACCCAAATAGCTCCTAAAACCTCACTCGCCTCCCAAAGGCTGAGTTAAATAGTCTTCAGCTGCCAGTGACAATGTTGACACTGGAGGCACACTAGAGAGGAGGTTTTTCCAGAGAGAGGGAGCCACCACAGAGAAGGTCCTGCAATGTGTTGCTACTCCCCTTAAGACTTCCTCAAGTGATGGAACCTAATTTCTAATTTAATACTTTGTTGCTCTGTATGAATGTTCCATGGTAAAAGCACAAATAAATACACTAGCTCTTAATTTGGGAGTACTGTATACATCAGGAGGTCTCTGTAAATATTCACTTCTACTATATATATATTAGAGAAAGGCAGAAATTTATTTATTATTCTGGAATTTCTTCAGAATCTGGAAAGAAGATTCTGTCCCAGCCAAGGAGGAGTGGTAGACTAAATTGATGGACTATGCTGAAATGACAAAACTTACGGGAGCAATAAGAAACTAAGACGGGGGTGGGGAGGGCTTTATCAAAGACTGGGCAAAATGTGTGGACTATTTGAAATGTTTTTGTACACATATAAGTTCATTATCAGGATTAACTTAAAACCAAGCAGTTGAAATAAATGTTAGAGGAAAACTGTTGATGTTGTTTAGTCATTTAGTCATGTCCGACTCTTCGTGACCCCATGGACCAGAGCACGCCAGGCACTCCTGTCTTCCACTCCCTCCCACAGTTTGGTCAGACTCATGCTGGTAGCTTCAAGAACACTGTCCAACCATCTCGTCCTCTGTCATCCCCTTCTCCTTGTTCCTTCCATCTTTCCCAACATCAGGGTCTTTTCCAGGAAGTCTTCTCTTCTCATGAGGTGTCCAAAGTATTGGAGCCTCAGCTTCACGATCTGTCCTTCCAGTGAGCACTCAGGGCTGATTTCCTTCAGAATGAAGAGGTTTGATCTTCTTGCAGTCCATGGGACTCTCAAGAGTCTCCTCCAGCACCATAATTCAAAAGCATCAATTCTTCAGCGATCAGCCTTCTTTATGGTCCAGCTCTCACTTCCATACATCACTACTGGAAAAACTAGAGGACAACTAGAGAGTAATTAATAATTAGAGTAATGAAGGAAATGCAGGGTTATGAATTTTTTTAAAAAGACACCACAAAAGGGGTGGGAGAAGTCAAAATATACCTACATGTTTATTGAGGAAATACTGGATTTGTATTTCTGTAAAAACTTTCTTACAATCTGAAAAATAAAATTTATTTAAAAGGGGGGATTTAATTATTATTATTATCATCAAAATTTATATTCAGCCTGAGCATAGTAGAACCTCCAAGTGGTTTACAAGAGAAAATCCCTAAGTGGTTTACAAGATGAAAAATGCTTAAGTTTATTCTATGTTGTGTTTCCAAATTTAAGTCACTCTGTAAGGTAGTATACACACAGACAATTATTTTCTCGGGAGCAAAAGGAGGAATTTCCCCCCTACTGCTTCTGTAGCATTGGCTCCTGACCTTGTAGCTTGCTAATTGAAATAAATGTAGTGGAAAATAGGAGATACTAGTTTGTTTTTTGAATTTATACCTCACCCTTCAATGTTAATATCAAGTCATGCTTTGAGTGCTTGTTTCAGCATTTCTGGACTACAGACTGAAGCACTTCAAAAATCTATAAAACCAGTTTGTCAAAAGAAAACTTTGGGGTGCAAATAAATAAACAAACTAATGGGGGATGCCTATAAATTTTCTGGTTCTGCATCTCCAAGAAGCCATTATTTGTATAAAGCCAGGATTACTTACTTAACTTAATTTCTTTCTTTCTTTTTAATTGGCTAGTAAGCTGATTAAATGCAAGACCACTTATATTGACTAAAAACTTCATCAGCCTTAATGCCACTGACATCATGCACCTCCTGTACTTTGACGGTATAGTCTGAGGGGATCCTACTGGCCTTGCAAACCAACTCATTTATGCTGCAATGTATCTGTCACTGGTGATACCAGTTGCGGTTCTGCCTGTGCGTGTCTGATTTCCGCAAACATTTTACAGGGTAGTAACATATCTATCGCTGTTGATATCGATCATCGTACAAATTACTCTGGGACTTATTGTTGGCAGATCAGCTCACTGCTCAGAAACAGGCTCTGCTCAGGACATAAAGCGTTGCTCTTCTTCTGCAGAGACTTCTTCTAGATGGAGGGGTGGAGTCGGCGGCTCTCCCTGATCCAGGGCTGAGTCCAAGTTTAAGTCACAGTCTCAACTCTCACGAGGGAAGGAAAGCCACAACCAGATGGAGTTTTTCAAAGCCAAAAACGAATGGCAGGGTAGTTTTGAAAACAGACCCAGCTGAGGGACAGATGAGACCCGAACAGGCATATAGACACAGTCTCTTTTCCCTGCCTCTGTAAGCTAACCTTGAAATTGTTTTTAAGTGCTCTAAGGCCACAAGTGTAAATGTCGACCTCTTGCAAAGCAGTTACAAATTTATAGTTTTGCTTTAAACAGAATTTTTGTTTAACGATAACATTGAACTGAACGCCATACATTTCCTTTGATTTAGCTACGGTAGGTCCCAAAAGCATTCCCTAGAAAACAATAAACAGCTTTCTTAACCCAACTAGGAGCGGAGTTATCCAGAAGTGATTTACGCTGTTGTGAGTGACACTTTCCAGTACTGCTTTGCCCAGACAATGGGACAGTTCAAAAGAGCCCAAGCTGTGCCTATGAAATATAGTCCCTCCCAGGCGCCCTCCTTGAGAAATTGCTTTCTAATTTCCAGATTGGAGGTTTATGTTACTAACTCCATAGATGGCTATTTGGCTTTCCTGCCCTTAACAACATTCAGATATGAGAGCAAAAGGAAAACATACTTTTTGGCTGTGTGTGATGAAGGGCCTTGAAGAATGCGCACTTGATCCCTGGACGCAGAACGCGCAGGTATGCGTCATCTTGCATGTGGGTTATGTATGTTTCTGGTGCTGCCCCACCACTTTAATTAAACTGGAAACAGAAGGTTGTTATGAATGGCAAAATATCTGCCTTTACAAAATGTTTCCATTTCTCCAGCATGCACACAGGGTAGGGCTTATTCAGAGGCCGCCAAAGTTGTTCATTTCAACAAGGTGTGAATTAGCCCTCTTAAAATGCAAGGTTTCTCGAAAGGTTTCTAAAATTTGGAACCAGATGACAAAGATGCTCAGAAATGCCTGTCCTAATGTTCTTGCTGAAACAGAGGAAATGAGAGTGAAAATTTGGTTTAACAGTTGCAACCATGCTGATTTTGTCAACAGATGAACCAACCCATGATATGTATATATATATTTAAATCACCCCATTCTCCCCTTCCACAAAGATGTTACTCAAAGTGTCCTAAAAGATAAAAGCCAACATTTTAAAATTGATCCAACCATAAAAATGCTGTTCATATGCAATAATTTGTCATTGATCTAAAAGGTATTGTAATAAGTTTGTGGTTAGGCTAAATGAGTTTTGGGGTTGCTTTCAATTCTGTGATTTTATAGCTGCAAGAGCAGATTCTGTAGAAATTAAAGGGATTGATGAAGTGGTCAAACTAGGCAGGAAACTTAGCTTGGTAGATTCTGCTTCTTTGGGACTTTGTGTAATACAGGGCTGCTGAAGAAGATGGTTCATAAACTTCAGCTATTGCAGAATTCAGTGGCCAGGTTGCTCACAGGGGCAAGACAGTTTAAGCATAATGCACTGATCCTGGTCTCACTGTACCAGCTGCCAGTTAGTTTCTGGGCCCAATTCAAAGTGCTGTTTTTGGCCAATAAAGCCTTAAACGCATTAGTACCGATGTACCTCAAGGACTGCCTCTCTCCATATGAAACTACCCAGACACTGAGATCATCCTCTGAGGTCCTTCTTCATGTGTCTCTTCCATGGGAGATCTGGAGGATGGCAATGCAAGACTGGGTCTTTTATGCAGTGGTTCCCCATTTGTGGAATGCTCTCCCCAGGGAGGTTTGCCTGGCACCTTTAGGCACAAGGCAAAAACATTCCTCTTCAACCAGGCCTTGGGCTGACTGACATTCAATGTAGTTTTAAATATGTTGTGGGATGGAGGATTATTGGTTTGTTTTTGTTCTTTTTTCATTTTGTAATTTTATGTTGTGAACTGCCCTGCGATCTATGGATGAAAGGTAGTATACAAATTTAATAAATAATAAACAACAACAATGATAAAGAGATCACCAAGTACAAATGATATGTTGCCATCAGACCTAAAGAACCTTTGGGAAGGTGAACAGAAAGGAGCATATCTTCTCCCCTAGTCATCAGCATGTGTGAAAGAGAAAAAACAAACTAGCAAGTATAGAGCTGTAAGAATAGAGCTGTAAAGGAAACACAAAAGACCTGGCCTTTTCCTCCGTGCAAAATCCAATGGTACTCTGCCCCTCCCCCGGGCTGGTCACCCTAGAAACCTAATAAACCTATTTCCAAGTAAACCTGCATGAGATTGCAGTATAAATGTCATTTCCCTTGGTCTCTGAAAATACAGAGGGCTGAAACTTAAAGCAGACAGGGGAAACAGGAGCTACAGTGTGTCTGTTACGAAGCAAAGTAGAAGCTGGAGGCTTTTTAATGCCAAGCCTCTTGCCTTAGGTACTAGGCCAGTTTCTATCCAAATCTCATGTGCCCCAATTCTTTATAACAGAAACCAGGTTGCCTAGTAAAACAGGATTTAACCCACTGCCCTTCATCTCCTTCTCAGAGCTCCTTGGGGGGCTACAAATTGCATCTATGTAATTATGAGAAACCGAGTACCCTGGTGTACTGCAAACAGGGTACACCACAGGGGAACAGAAATACTGGGATCAAATGGGAGACGTTCCTATCATTTAGCCAAGTTACGGTAGATTTTTTTGTTGTTTCATTGACTTGGAGGCTCAGTCAAGAAAACCATCAATATCGCAATGGTAAGATTGATTTTCATCCGCTTGTTCTTTTTAACATACGAACAGGAAAATGTTAACACTCATTTTGATCACCTTTGGGGGAATTTGTAAAAACAAATAAATCCATGTTTAGCATTTACTAGTTCCCAATACATTACAAAAAGAGGTAGACGTTATATATTCATTATTCTCTGGCAATGTGTGAGGTTACGACTGGCTGAATCTCATCACATTGTAGAGCAGAGGATGGAACTGCAAAATGATTGAGACACCATAACCCAGATTCATTTGTAGAACAAATTGTAAAATCAGAACAACAGAGCATGGAATCACCCTGGGGCCCCTTCCCGCATAAATCAACTTTGAATGAGAACAGAAGAAATCTGTTGGAAAATGTTGTGAAATGTCCATATGGGGCAGTTCCACAGTCCCCTTGAATTACTACAGAAGCTTGAGTGGCCAGAATGGGAGGCAGAGCAAGTGAAAGGGAATGCAGGAGACACAGGGTTGGAGCTTGGAACAACCATGGGGTCAGAACATTTTAGTTCTTTTGAGATGCACCAGATGCCTCTATTCTTGGTCCCACTTCTTCATAAACCAGGGCTTTTCCATTTTATGACAGTGCTCATCAATACAGAGTACTGGTGCCTCTTTTTTGCTGTCCATGGCAGCCATATTGTGCTGGCATCTATGACACTTTATCAATATATGATCACCAGCACCTCATTTTTAATCGAAAAAACCCCCAGAACTGCCTAAACCGGAATTTTCCTATCTCCCAAATCTTCAGGTCCAGAAGGAGTGCTTGCAGGATTCAGTCTTCCTCTTTGTGTTTTCTAAACACTCCCATAATATGCAAAAGTTTCATAATACACCCGTGCTAAACCCATTAAACTATTTTCTGTTTGCTTAATGCTCTGTAAAACGGAAGAAGAGTTGGCCTTCTAGCTACACGGAAATGACTCTTCCTATAACAATCTCATTGCAGTAAAAGAAACAATCTGTGGCTGTTCTATCCATGCAAAAGATGCAAGTCATCATCAGAATAAAAAAATGATGAGCTACCTTTGTGCTCTGATGTTGCCGATTAAATTAGCCACCAGGGAAAGACTTGCTTCTTTCCAACTCCAAGACTGGGCAGCCTAATAGCTTATGTACTGGCAATAGGGAATGTGCGGGTGATTATATCCTGGTAAGTAGTTAAGGTTAAAGTCCAAAAGTCTGTGGAACAAAAAGCTGTTTTCTATTCACATTTGGCTAGAGATACTCAAAATGAAGCAGACCACCCACAGCCTGACACTTAGGGAGACTGCAGTGCATTGAATCTGCTGAAAGTCGGCTACAAAAATAAAGTTGTCAGGAATCTGCTAAGAGCTAAGGAAAAAATTACATACAGTGTCATTTCTAAAAAAGAAACTCATGACCTACGCACATATATATGCTTAGATAGTCCTAACCAATTTTATATATAGAGAGAGAGAGACAGGGTACCCTTTCAGGGTTTTTTTCATGGGGGGCGGGGAGTATTCACACATTTGCGGGGAAGGGTTAAAGGCCTGTTAATGTTTGTATTCAAGACTTTATGAAGAAAGAAAGAAAGAAAGAAAGAAAGAAAGAAAGAAAGAAAGAAAGAAAGAAAGACATTTGTTGTGGTGACTTCTTTGTAGCTCATAATAACCTGAAATTGAGGCTATGGGATCCTTAAAATCAGGGTATATCTGAAAAGGAGGTAGAAGCAAGCTTTCTTTGGCCACAGTAAGGCTTTACCTGGAGGAGTACAGAAGAAAGATAGTTAAAGCCAGGACTTCTGAGTCAGACAGCCTAGAATTATTGCAGTGAGACCTCTTTTGGGTTCAAGAATATATCACCTAAAATTCCATGATGGAAGAAAGGCACATAAGAAGAGCCCTGCTCCTAGTTCTTCATCCTGTTCTCACAATGGCCAACAGCGCTGAGGCCTAACCACTGAGCTTTTTGTGCTTGCCGATCAGAAGGTTGGCAGTTCAAATCCACGCAACAGTGATGAGTTCCTGTCACTCTGTCCCAGCTTCTGTGAACCTAGCAGTCTGAAAGCACACCAGTACAAGTAGATAAATACCGTATTTTTCGCTCTATAAGACGCACCAGACCACAAGACGCACCTAGTTTTGGGAGGAAGAAAACAAGAAAAAAATATATTCTGCATCTCAGAAGCCAGAACAGCAAGAGGGATCGCTGCGCAGTGAAAGCAGCAATCCCTCTTGCTGTTCTGGCTTCTGGAATAGCTGCGCAGCCTGCATTCGCTCCATAAGACGCACACACATTTCCCCTTACTTTTTAGGAGGGAAAAAGTAAGTCTTATAGAGCAAAAAATACAGTAGGTACTACTGCGATGGGAAGGTAAATGGTGTTTCCGTGCACTCTGTCACTCGTCACGGTGTCCCATTGGTTTCGTCATGCTGGCCACATGACCTGGAAAGCTGTCTGTGGACAAACGCCAGACCCCTTGGCCTGAAGCAAGATGAGTGCCGTACCCCATAGTTGCCTTTGACTGGACTTAACCATTCAGGGGTCCTTTACCTTTACCTTTTAGTTTTTCATCCTGTTCTCACAATGGCAAATGAGATGCCTGTGCAAGGTACCAGCTCCTGGGTGCAGGAGTTTTGTCTGTATCACCAAAAGAGTGGTATCTGTATATCTATAGCCCACTCCCCAGGGCTGATACCGACACTGGAGGATCTAGATCAGGAAAATGGCACAGTGGAAAGAGTAAACCCTTTCCTCCTTCAGGGGCAATGCTACAATAAATTCAGAGCCCCCTGGAGCTGCTTTAAAGTGCAATAAAAACAAGAGGTGCTCCCATCACAGGTTTTCTGCATCCCATGTAATTTGGCTCTTCGTTGGAGTCTTCCCAATAGGAAATGTATAGTTAAGCTCACAAATAAAAGCTTGTCTAGGAAGGAGTCTCCAAATATATCCACCTTAAGGCATATAACTTCTTAAAATGATTTGTGGTGCTCTGGTGTGATTCTGATTTCCTTCAGTATTCCGTCTTCCTGTCCTGGAAAATGTATGTCTGTTTACGTCATGTGTCACCACAGCCCCCTTTATAAACAACCAGGCAGAGAATTCTTCATAGAAAGATAAATGCAAGGCAAATCCAAATGCCGTCCGTAAGGATTCACAGAGGCTTAAGGGGAAAGGGCTTGCTTGAATGAGATTCTGGCAGACGCACGGGGAGCTCTGCTCCTTCATGGGCTCTTCCTTCAATAGAGGTGGGCCCACAGACTTTGCAGAATTAAACTATCTGTAGAGTTTGGTCATTCTCTATAAGGTTTCAAGGGCTAAAGTTGTATTTTCATGACATTCATTCAGCACCCCAAATAGGTTATTTTTACCACCTAAGCCTATGTCTACATCAAAGTAAGAGTGGTATGTGTATGTTTTGCTTCCCCTATATGTTGTATGGAATATTAATATACTATATGAGTCCCCCTTCTTTTCTATGATATAATGCTTTTTTTCCTGGGGGGATGCAGAGGTACGCATACCTCTAAACATTTTGTGAATCTTTGTACTTTTGTCCATTTAATGTATTTCTTTTTCCCTATTTGAAATATAAAATGGTGATTTTCTTGAGTCAAAATGAGAGTACAGTGGTATCTCGGGTTACGAACTTAATTCGTTCCAGAGATCCGTTCTTAACCCGAAACCGTTCTTACTGAGGTGCACTTTCGCTAATGGGGCTTCCTGCCACCACCGCACAATTTCCGTTCTCATCCTGGGGCAAAGTTCGCAACCCAAGGTTCTACTTCCAGGTTAGCAGAGTTTGTAACCCGAAGCGTTTGTAACCCGAGGTACCACTGTACCCCTAAACATTTTTTAGAAAAAAAGCACTGGGTATTTATGCGTATACATACACTGTATATATTAAGGCACTTGGGGAACCTTTGGGTGACAAGTCACTAATACGTTTATGACCAATGATGATGATGAAGAAGAAGAAGCTCACCATACCTTGACAACATCTGAGCTCCTGATTTTTAAACTTTAGGGTTGTTGAAATATATACAAAAAATATTAATCAATTTGAGTTGTGTGACTCAAAACTGGGTCTACTAGATCCAAAAAATTAAGAAATGTGGGCTAAAATCACTTCTGGGGCTCCTCCTGGATTAGAGGCCCTGCAGCTTAAGCTTCAGGAGGTTTCACAGTAGATCCACTCCTACCCAGCAGACCTTCCTTGCTCAGCAGGGGATGGTAAGGTGCACATGGACATGGGGATGGAGAGAGGGAGAGGGAGAAGGTGGAGCTTGCATGTGTGTTTGCCCCTGCCTCCTCTTAACTATTGCCATTCAGGCAAATGGATGTTTTCCAAATGTTGAAACTGCTCTGAGGCAGTATTTGCCCCTGATAATCACTAACAGTGGAGAACATTCCTTCTAAAAGGACCAGAATGGCCTTGATCCACTATAAATCAAGAACATTTCACTGCTTTATCCCTCTGGAACAATGAAAGGCAAATCCTCTGATCGCTGAATCACAATGGCATCATTCATGATGACTTTGTCACAGCCAAAGCCAGGCGCAGAATTTATATTTGTTTGTTTGAAGAAACGGGTGTAGAGAATGATTTATGTTTGGAGATTTTCTCTTTGGCTCGAATGCATCTGTTGATTTTAGATCATTTGGTCCACAGCTTTCAAGGGTAGGCAACAGGGTGCCCTCCTTAGGTTGATGAACTCCAACTCCCATCAGCCCCAAGCAGCATGGCCATTGGCCAGGAATGATGGGAGCTGTAGTCCACCGTATCTGGAGGGCACCACATTGGCCACATTCACTGTATGATTGTTTTATTCCTGCATGCTACTTAGGCTTTTCACTCCTCATAGGAATGGTGGAGGATACTATCCCATGGCCAGTGTTGAGTTATCTGGTGTGAGGGCTCCTGTATGTGTTTCTGTATGTGTAGTGGGAGGACTTCTTGTTCTTCACCTCAGGCCAACTGTGACTTAGGCTTGCTTGTTTATGCTAATAGCAGTGAAGTGTATGAGTGAGTAGACTATGGATAACCCCCGTGTGTGGCATTCAAATAAATAAAAGGGTATTTCTATGACTGGCTTTCTTCAGTGCTCTAACGTGGCAAGAAGCAGGGTGAACAGGTTGCCAGGCAAAACATCCCCCTCTGTCCACAGCAGGACAGCCTATTGCTTGAGCTATGCAGCTAAACCACATTAATAGGCTGGGGTTGTTAGTTATAAATCACATATAATAGCACTGAAGTTTTATCCAGAAAGGAGTCCTTTAAAGAAGGGAGAAAGCCTTAAATTAATTATCTTTCTAGCTGTTCTACACTCCTGTGCCTTTATGCATTATAGGTCTGCTGCACAGGAAATCAGTTTCTAAAAATAAGATAATTTTCATTAAATTAGAATTATAGAGAGGATGCTATACGACAGTTAATCCTAAGAAACTTTGGGAGCTTTATAGTATGGTTTCATGGTGGCTTTTGAATGATATATAAGGTAAGATATGACACTCTGTGGTGCTTTATATTATCCATATGGCAATCATTTGTTCTGTGAGTACCCATTTCCCTATCCTTATAAGAGCCCATAAAAAGGAATAATAAAACTAAAAGTGATAGGGAGGTGGGTGCTCTTAATTGACACCACATGTCTGTCATATACGCTGTATTGCCCCTCTCTCTCAGAAGGAACTTTGCTCCTACAAATGAAATCTAAAGCTGTCCTTTCTGCACATTTTCAGGACCAGGCAGCACTGCCCTGTGTCTATTGAACAAATCCCCGCTGCAAACCTTAATGCCTGCTCATGCTGAATAGGTTGAATCTTTAGATAGGCTATCCTATTTTCTCTTTCACTGGACCAGACAGTCTTCAATACCCTCAAGTGAAAACAGAGCCATATTTAAAGGCAAGTCTTCTACTGTCACATGTCTGGCCCACAATAAAGCCTTCCCAATGAAAAATGGATTCCAAATACATGCTGACCTTTAATGATCTTAAGAGTGGGGATGTAAGAAAGCATCACTTTCTGATCCACTCTGTATTTGTTGCATGCATCACTGTTTCTATTCCACTATTCAGTTTGCCTTCCACCCAAAATGCTGGCTATTGTGGCCAGTTACATAACTTATGTACCTATGTAGTTAATTATGTAAACTACATTGTAATTCATTATTCTGCCCCATTCATCTCAAAGCTATGGAAACCATGCAAATGGCGGAAAACATAATCAATTACATATTGATTGTGAAAGCTACATAAAGGTAAAGGGTAAAGGGACCCCTGACCATTAGGTCCAGTCGTGACCGACTCTGGGGTTGCGGCGCTCATCTCGCTTTATTGGCCGAGGGAGCCGGCGTACAGCTTCCGGGTCATGTGGCCAGCATGACTAAGCCACTTCTGGCGAACCAGAGCAAATACTAATTGTATTCACCACACTAATTTCCATCCTGGATATGAAACAAATCAGCAATTTCTGCTCCTGTTTTTGTTTTCGCCAGAATTCTCTGACATCTCTAGTTAATGTGTGTGAATGACTTTATTTTAACATTCTCATGTGTGCCAGTTGGCTAACCAAAAATTTCAAAGCAAAGTTTTGTTCATGGACCATTTCAATGATCTAATGTCCAAAACCCCATGCAAATAAAGCCTACAGAGTTTAGTGGGACTTGCTTGTGAGCAAAAACAGACAGGTGAACCTTCTGTAAGGCTGCACTACTATATACACCTACTTGGGAGTAGGTCCTATTGAACTTAATCCTACAGAAATAAATTGATCGTTCAGAGATGGGTTATGAGTTTTGATGTAATTCCTATATTACACCTGGAAGAAATTAGTGTATGGAAATAAAGGCTATGTCCAGATGGCAGCTTTGCCCATGGTTAATTTAGCACTGAAGCACTAAACTGGAAGAGGAAGAAAATATAAACTTGAAGAGGAAGAAAGAGATGACAAGGAGGCTAGGGCTTTCCACAACAGGCACTCTTTTGAACTATGCCCCAATGCAAATCCTGCTAGACGCCACTGTAGAAGCCCTTAAAGTAGCTCTTGTCTGCTACCAGACTCTTGATTCTATAGCAGATAGAAGTGTAAGAATAACTCCACTACACCTAGAACTCTGAATCTGGATCTTTATGGAAAGCAGCTTACACATTCGGGCCATTTAAGTTTAAGTAGCCTGGGCTCAACTGGTTTGACAATGGAACTCCGATGCAATTGAAAAATGTTGCAACTATATTACAAAAAAGTTGAGAGTTTTCTGAACTACTTTTCCATTCCCCTTTGGAGGAAAAGTGTGGTGGGTCTGGAAAGTTGTAAGCCAACAAAAACAAAACATTACAGTGAAATCCAGTGTGTTTCTTTTACTAGGATAATAGTCTTTTATATGTGCGCCTTCAGCTAATAAATGTAATATAACTCAAACATTACTTATGTTATTTAACAAAAGGTGTTACTGAGACCAACATGCATTACTATGATGAATCAGGCCATCAAGTTCTCTTGGCCTTTGAAATATTGCTAGCCTGGAACTATTCCTTGCTCTCACCATTTATTGATGGTTAAGATGGAGCGTTTGAAGGTAAGATGTTCACCACCGTGGAACTTACTTATGATTATGTTATTTAAAACATCTTTAAATTGTCCTTCATCCTTACAGGTACCAGATGTTATACAGTGGTTGTGACTAGGTTAAGTAACTGAAGGATATTGGAAAAATGCACAATTATCAACAAAGTGTATATATAGAGAGAGGAGAATATCCTCACCTAAAAAACAACAACCCTGAAAAGCTATCCCATACTGAACTGGAACAATCAATAATTAAGTAAAGAAAAATATTTGGATTCTTTTCCTAAGAGGGGACCCCTTATGACAGAAAACAACCATTATAAAAACAATCCTAATTATGAAGAACAGAGGAAGTTGCTGCCATATACTGAGTCAAGCCATTACAGTGGTACCTCAGGTTACATACGCTTCAGGTTACAGCCTCCGCTAACCCATAAATATTACCTGCGGTTAAGAACTTTGCTTCAGGATGAGAACAGAAATCGTGCAGCAGCGGTGCAACGGCAGCGGGAGACACCATTAGCTAAAGTGGTGCTTCAGGTTAAGAACAGTTTCAGGTTAAGAATGGACCTCTGGAACGAATTAAGTACTTAACCCGAGGTACCACTGTAGTTCATTTAACTCAGTATAGTCTACACTGACTGGCAGCAGCTTTCGAGAGTTTCATATACAGTGGTAAGGTATATGAAGGTAAAGGTACCCCTGCCCGTACGGGCTAGTCTTGCCAGACTCTAGGGTTGTGCACTCATCTCACTCTAAAGGCCAGGAGCCAGCGCTGTCTGAAGACACTTCCGGGTCACGTGGCCAGCGTGACAAGCTGCATCTGGTGAGCCAGCGCAGCACACGGAACGCCACTCCTTTCCTGCTGGTAAGCGGTCCCTATTTATCTACTTGCACCCGAGGGTGCTTTTCAAACTGCTAGGTTGGCAGGCGTTTGGACCAAACGACGGAGCGCACCCGCCGCGGGATTTGAACCGACCTTCGACGTAAGTCCTTAGGTGCTGAGGCTTTAACCACAGCGCCACCTGCGTCCCTATACAGTGGTACCAGGTTAAGTACTAATTGCCCAGAGGTCCGTTCTTAACCTGAAACTGCTCCTAACCCGAAGCACCACTTAGCTAATGGGGCCTCCTGCTGCTGCTGCGCCGCCAGAGCACGATTTCTGTTCTCATCCTGAAGCAAAGTTCTTAACCTGAAGCACTATTTCTGGCTTAGCGGAGTCTGTAACCTGAAGCGTAACCTGAGGTACCACTGTACAAGTCTTCCAGCCCTACTGAGAGATGCCTGCCCTAGTGAGAGATGGGACCTTAGATGCTCTCCCACTTAGGCTAGCCCTTGTGACGAGAAGGCACCGTACCAATATGCATGGCTAGTAATTTCCCCCCCAATACCTAAAAGCAGACAATGCAGGAGTCAACCTGATTTCCCAGGGCAGGGAACTCTGTGTTTAACTCATCACTAAGAACCCCGCCCCTTCTCTCATGGCCACCAGCCACACCTCAGAAGAAGACAGGAAGTGGAGCAAGCAGATTCATGTTGGAGGAGGGAGCCATTTGGCTAGCCTGATCCAAAACCATTTAAGTTCCATGAAACCAAACAAAAGAGGGATTTATTATTTGATAGGTTTTCATAACCAGGCTACTTTAGAGTGAGCCCTTTGGGGACTGCTGCCAAGACGATATGATTAATCTGTATTCACTTTTGACATACTGCTGTCGTTATCTGCTTTATCAGTGACAGGGCCAATCAAGTCATTCTGCTTCTTTTATGGCTTGCTTTGCTGAAGCTTTAAAAAGAATTACAGGCTGGAGGGGTGCAGAGTTCCATTTTAAATCCACCGAGAAAGGATGCCAAATATTTATACAACTACTGAGACTTAACAAATTTGTAGTTCAGCCATAGTGCATTCATTGCTTATACAAACAGTATTATTGTTTTTTTGTCAGATAAACCTCCTCTCTCTCTAATAGGGTGCTTAATCTGTTCACATTTCATGCACCAGGACAATCAGAGCCTGTTCTAGTGTCAATCCCAGAAGAGAGTATAGTTGAATGGTTAATTATACTTGTTCCAGTAAGGGAGTCTTCAAAAATGCAGCATGATCACACAGAAACACATTTTCTCCTCTGTATATTTCCATGGGTCAGGAAAGTGACCCAACACTGAACAGATTCCAGACTGTGGAGTATATTTTGCATATGTATATGTTCAGTAAACATGGGCCAAGACATGGCAACAACAATAATAAATTCTGCTTACATCACAGTCCCGTGCATCTGCACTCAGAAGTAAGTTCCACTCTGTCCAATAGGACTTACTCCCTATTAAGTGTGTTTAGGATGTAGACTCAGTGCAGGCATAACCAATGAGGTGCCTTCCCAATGTTGGTGGACCACATCTGCCACCATCCCTGATCATTGGCTAAACTGGCTGGGGATGATAGGAGTTGTAGTTCAACATCTGGACGGCATCATGTGAGCAAGTTTGGGTTAATATAACACTTTTACTATGTGCTGATCAAAATTGTTCACATAGCATTGTTTGTGAACATTACAACAGTTCCTTAAAGTATAACCACTATAGAGTGTTCTTGGTGAAAATCAATAGCTTCCACAAATGCAGCAAATTTGCCAGATTTTGAATCAGCGCGTGTCTGTGGATTCTTCTACCCTTCAAAATGTCTGGAATATTTTTCTAAGCACACTTAGCTCTCTGCATTTTCAGAACTGTCCAGTTTTAGATTTGATTTGAACCCTGTGCTTTTCAGCAATGAAATCCACATTTTCTCTCCCCCACCCCATCCCACCCCCAATCTCATTTGTTATTTGGTTCCACAGCCTTGCTTGGCACTAAGCATCCAGTTCCTGTGCCGATCTGATTAGGTCAAATTACATGCTTTTACTACTCCTACAAGCAAATGCAGCAAGCCTCCAATTAAGTGTGAGGTGCTTTAAATCCTAAATGGAGCTAATGTCTGCCCTCACCAAAAGCCTGAGGTCCTCATCCCCCCCCCTTTTAAATTGCTATTTTTTTAGGCTGCTTTCCAACAGCTGAGCCCCTATGACAAGTCAGGACGGTGAACCTACCTTACGGTTAGAATTACTCCCTGGCCATTTTTAGCATCTTTGACAGCTTGTTGAACATACAATATTGCCCTTGTAAGGGAAGAATGAATGGGAAACAGCACTGTGATGTCATTCAGTGTTATATAATATCGACATTGAGGGAGAAACACAGTTTTGATGCATCCAGGGACGTGTGATAATTGCTGTTACCTTTCATGTCTCCTATCGTTTGGAACCCAAATAATAATCTACTTGTAAAGAAAGAAGAAAAATGGAACTATTTTGGCAAGCAAACTGAAAGCCTTAGAAGTGTTTGCAGCCCCTTGGCCCAATGCTTCCTAAAATGATGACAGAGTCTCCAAATTTGTTATGCTTTGCTATTCTGAAAACAGCAAAGAAGGAAATAAATAAATGACTGATAACTTGGCTTATAGCCTCTGGACCTTCGGGGGGAAAGGACTCCTTGTTCAATATGATTATATTTAATCCGCTGCTTCTATAAGTTATGGCAAGCCCTACTTCGAGGTGAAATGTGAGATAATTCTCTAGAATTGTACTTATGGAAGTTGCAAGCATGTGGCCTGTGGAAAGGCACTAAATTAATACAGTCATACCTCGGGTTGAATGTGCTTCAGGTTGAGCGCTTTCGGGTTGCGCTCCGCGGCAACCCAGAAGTAACAGAGCACGTTACTTCCAGGTTTCGCCACTTGCGCATGCGCAGACGCTCAAAATGACGTTACACGCATGCGCGGAAGCGGCAAAATGCGACCCACGCAGACGCACCATTGCGTCTTACGTTCTGTTCAGGATGCGAACGGGGCTCCGGAACGGATCCCGTTCGCGTCCCAAGGTACCACTGTAGTGCAATCCTATGTATGTCAACTCAGAAGCAAATCTCATTGAGTAAATGGGAACAATATACTGGGGAGTCCTGCCCCAAGGTTGCTGGACTACAACTCTCATCATGCTGACCACTGGCCATGCTGGTTGGGGCTGATGGGAACTGAAGTCCAACAATATCTGGGAGGTTCCCCATCCCTGCCCAAACCTATAAGCCGCTATGCATCAAGATCTAGATTCAGGGTTCAAGCTGTAGTGATCTTGACACTTCTGCAGACTAGGGATAATCCTCCCAAATTCATTGATATCACTTGTTTTAATTACGTGGCGCTTTTCCAGGGCACATGGGATACTGCAGAACATAAAAGTCTGAAAAAAAGTTGATCTGATGTGACACATTATTTTAAAAGATTAAACTAGAGGCCTGCCATCAAGGTTTGTGTGGATAAATACCTACACAGATAACATTCTCTACCCCTTCAACAAACAATGGCCTTCCTTCACTCTTGGTCTTGTCAGTCTACTACTCTCTGCAGCAGTCTTCCCCCACCTGGTACACTCTGGAAGCTTTGGATGAAAACATCCACCATCATTTATCTATATATTTCCCACCTATCTGAGTTGTTGACTGGAATGAATGGGAGTTGTTGGCCAAAACATCTAAGAACATAAGAAGAAGCCTACTAGATCAGGCCAATGCCCCATCAAGTCCAGCTTCCTGTTCTCACATTGGCCAACTAAATACTTGTGGGAAGCCTGCAAGCTGGAGCTGAGCTCAGCAGCACTTTCTTTCCTTTCTCTTCTTATGCCAGATGTGCCTACTTCTTCACATCCCAGATCCTACTTCCTGCGAAGCTTATAGCCCTCAATGCTATGCTTTCCCCCTCTCTCCTACCAGCCTCTGCTTCTCCAGCATCCTCTTTCATTCCTGCTGGTCTTCTTGGCACTCTTACATGCAATATAAGACAGGACATTGGTCTGTATTTATTTTTTTACTTCCTTTATTCTTTGCACATCCTCATTCATCCTCTTTTTTCCACACCATAGAACATTAGATACAGCAATGCGGTACTGTGGTAAAGAGAATGCGGACGTTAGATGTTGTTGGCTGTTCCAGAAAATAAATTATAATGACAAGTCTCACTAGGATACTGTTTCCCTTTTCCATGAAAAGGAAAAAGAACTGGGGCATTTCGGAGATCTCCACCAAGGAACAAACAGATCTAATTTCTGTGTTTTCTTGGGATAATTTTTGAGATAAGCCACTGTGTTTTCCATTTTAGGAAATACAATTCCCCCCATTTGGATCCAATTCAGAGAAAGCCACACACAAGTCCCCTTGAAATTAATAGGATTTTTGTGAGACACAACTAATTTGATCAGTTGATTTCATTGCTCAGCTAGCTTTCTCTGAAAAACATGTTTCAAACGTTCTACTCTTTAGTAATGCTTTAGCTGGATACATCTCATACGATATCCCCTTAAAATACTTTACTTAGAATAATATCTTATTAGAATATTTTATTAAAATAAATCTTTTCATTAAGCTATTTTTACTCAGAAGTAAGACCGCTATACACCGCGGTACTTACTTCCAAGTAAGTGTGTTTTGTTTTGTTTTGGTTTTGTTTGTTTGTTAATCACCTTCCGCACACACTCTTCAATTTTAAAAATCTAAAAAACTTAAAAGCAACACAGACAACAGCAGACAAATTTTAAAACATCCATGGCAGAAACCTATTCATTCAACTAGGAAAGTGTGTCAGAACAAAACAAATCAAATCTTGTCATTTCTGAAAAGTGCAGGTAATAGGCTCTGTCATTTAAGAATGCATCCTATCATATTGCTGTTTCTGTTTTTTGTTTTTTTGTTTTAAGTTTCAATCCATGTTATCCAAAAATGCGTATGTATCCTGTACTTTGTTATCACATACTACTATTTGATGTGTTGTTTCTCAAACTGGCTTCACATTGGATGAAGTCCTTAACCTGTTTTTACAATTTGTTTTAGGATTGTTTTGAAGGTCCCATACTCATAGCAGCTGCCCAGAGAGCTGAACTAATAAGCTGAGGTATAACACTTCTTAATAAAAATTCTAAAAACCCGGGTTTTTAGAATTCTTGTTTTTTTTAGAATTCTTGATTTATCCAGTAGCCTGCTTTCATTGTTGCTCCCAAAGATCTAATACCTTTCTCTGTTCCAATTTGATCCACTCCATTATGCGTATCTGGATATTTGTCTCTCCACACGATTAATATCCTGTGAAGGAAGAAGAGGAGGTGAGCACACTTCCCCATCCCTGCCATCACCAGGCAGAGGTCCTGAGGGTTGTTGGTCCCCACGTTCAGTTTCCAACACATACATGTAGGTGGCTGAGTAGAAGAGGGTCAGATTTTTCTCCTTTTTGTTCTGGATATTGTTTGGTTCTTACCATGTTAATTGTTTTTACCTCCCCCCAAAAAATAAATAAATAAATCAGATTCTGCATCTGCATCAAATTGCTTTAGATTCTTCTACATGTGGTTTAAACAAATAAATCATACTAGAGGGAAAAAGTTGTTTTCCCCACATAGCTAAGCTACAAGAAACTGTACTGTACAAGTGTGATGCCTGCAAACCATCCACTGATTCCCTCCCACCCCTTCTTCTTCCTTGTTCTGTTTTGGCACCAGTATGTCTGTGTTTAACTTTATATCTCTTTGCCAGATTTGGAAAGTTGCTTAAAGTAATTATCACATTTTTGTCTGCAGGGAGGAAATTGGGCCCTGTGGCGGTGCTGAAGAAAATAATAGCAAATGGGGATACAGGGGTGTATATGAATAGTTAAGAAACCACTGCTATGATCTAGGACAAAATTTGTATTCAGATAGTCAAGACTTTTCATTAATACTTACTACAGGAGGCAGGCTATTAAGCTGCTGTGTGTGGGGGGGGCACTATTCAAAAATGTCCCATTTCATAATCTAATTTGAATTAAGTTCTCTGAATGCCGTTGCTTATGTTGCCAAAACAGCAATAGTAACACAAAGAGGAGGTATCAGCAGACTTGGGGGAACCTGGAGCTCTGCAAAACCACAAAAAAATATTCAGGGGAAAAACCCTAAAGGGAGGGGACCCCCAGACACAATCCAGTGAGAACTGAGCACACTTAATTCCCATGTAATGTTGACAGATTGTCAAAAGGGGGAAAAATGAAAACCAGGTAGAAGGGGAATGAAATAGAGTGGCTGAAAAGGGAAGATTGAGGAAAAGACATATAGAGCCCCATGTGCACTATACATTTAATGTAGTATCATACTATTTGAAACCGTCATGGCTTCCTCCAGAGAATCCTGGGAAATGTAGTTGTTAGGTGTGCTGAGAGTTGTTAGCGTACCCGTATTTCACTGACAGAGCTACAGGGGATTGTCTCCTGTGAAGACAAAACATTCTTGCGTACAGTGAGTTCAGGTATCAGGGCTTCTGCTGTGTATGTTTGAGTAATAATCCTTTACATTCTCATTTTTATTTTTAACTTTTCAGCACTTCATTCTCGTACCTGACAGCGTCTCTTTAAATATAGTCTCACCACCAGCCCTGGCAAAACGCTTCTGGCAACACTTTCTAACGAAAGGCCAATCCTGATTAGTTCTACTCTTGATACTCATTTCAGCTGCCATTAATCATGATGAACTCGGCGTGCCGATCTTGACGGCCATGTGTAATTTCTTTGGAATTTCATTTTCATTTAACATTAATTAAAGAACACTTATGATAAAGTGTTACCAAAATGAATTCCTGCTCTGAAGCCTTGGTCTGCCAAGCTTCAACCTTCGGCAAATTGTTATGGGTGACTAATAGACATCCTAGGAAAATGAGCTTTATTATGGAATCTTAATCTTAGCTGTGCAGCCGATACAGCAACATAACAAAAGGGAGGACAATTTTGAAGGAGGCTATCCACTTGCAATCGTATTTCTTGCCTGCTTTCTATCTCCTCCACCCCTGCACTGCCTGAAAGCATTAAAGACGCTTAGCAAGCTAGTTTGGTGTAAATGTGGCCTCTTGACACAATGGATCTTTACTCTTGAGAGACTGATTATGACACACTGATCAGACACAGGATATTAACCTAGCTGGCAATTCAGCTTCCTGTTGCTGAGGTTGTACAGACACCAGGGTGATCCTTGAGATGCAGCCTCGTTCATGAAAAAATTTATTTCTTCACTCATATTTCTTGAAGCTGTCATATCCCTGTCAAGAAAGAAAGCAACTGTACGCATTTGCTATGTCTTCTTCTACCCCGACCCTTTCCATCTGTGACATTCACCATGGGGTTTATACTTTACATTTTTTCCCCACCTTCCCAGCCTTAGAAGGAGAACCACTGTTGATATAAAGGGCTTTCGCTGCATTCTGTTTTCACAAGAAATTCTGAATGGATCATGAATGAAATAAGTAAACTTTAAAAAGAGGTTGGTCATTGTTCTTTCTCATTCTCAGTGGACATTTACCATTCATCCCATAGATTCAGTTCCGTCATTTTGGCATTGCTCCCAGAGCACAAGGAATGCAACAGGTCTACATAGGGAAGGGGACGACGACCCACTGAGGAAGCAAAGAAGGGTTTCAACGTGATTCCCCAGTTCAAGACCTACTGAGCATGTTTCCTACATCCACACCATGCATTTAAAGCACTTTTCTTCTCCCAAAGAATCCTGGGAACTGTAGTCTACCCTTTGCAAAGCTACCATTCCCGGCACCCTTGGCAAACTACACTTCCCAGGATTCTTTGGGGAAGCCAAGTATTCGTTAAATGTGTGGTGTGGGTGTGATGGATTCGGGACCAATTCACATGTGATGATAATAAGAATAAGAATAAGAATAAGAATAAGAATAAGAATAAGAATAATGTGATGGTACCTGATGTGTTTTACATAGTGAATATCTCCTGTGAAATTGCCCACATGAATGAATGTGTATCCCTCGGTTTTCTTGCTTAAGATTGTTTCGTTTCACCCACCTGGCATTCCAGTCCTCCTGAGTTCCAGTTTTACCAATTGAAGTTTTAACGTTAATTCTACAGCTGAGCATGTGGCATTTGCTACAGCTTTTGGCTCCTTAAGTTCATTTACATCTCCCCCCTCCCACCCATTGTGCTGCATTTGTGCACTGATAATAATAATAATAATAATTAAGAATAATAATTTTATTATTTATATCCCACTCATCTGCCTGGGTTTCCCCAGCCACTCTGGGCAGCTTAGTGATGCCTGGGGGTTTGTGTCAGCATCACTTTGGTAGGGTCTCTTTCTATTCTCTTGTTATGTTTCCTTGGTGGTGAAAGAGGTTGGGGTGGCCTAGGATGTGGTTGATTGTCTTTGGTTGGCTGCAGTGAGATTTGTTCGTTCGCGTGGGGGGGGGTTGTTGGGTTAAGTTAGCCATTTTGAATCGTATGCTGTTGGTGGGTTCGTGTTGTATAATTCTTTATCTCCTTGACATCTGAAGGGAGGGCGTTCCACAGGGAGGGCGCCACTAACAAGAGGGCCCTCCAAGCAGGAGATAGCACCAGTGCTCTTCTTCTGGGGGTACGCAGGGATATGTGTACCCCTAAACATTTTGTGAAGCTGGCACAATGGCCTCATTTCATGTCCTGAGTCTCAGACGGAATCTGAGTCAAAATGAGAGTACAGTGGTACCTCGGGTTACATACGCTTCAGGTTACATACGCTTCAGGTTACAGCCTCCGCTAACCCAGAAATAGTGCTTCAGGTTAAGAACTTTGCTTCAGGATGAGAACAGAAATTGTGCTCTGGCGGCGCGGCAGCAGTGGGAGGCCCCATTAGCTAAAGTGGTGCTTCAGGTTAAGAACAGTTTTAGGTTACGTATGGACCTCCGGAACGAATTAAGTACTTAACCTGAGGTACCACCAGTGGCGTAGCGTGGGTTGTCAGCACCCGGGGCAAGGCAAGTAATTTGCGCCCCCTAACCCGGTAGGGGCAGAGAGCTGCGAGTGCGAGCGCACCCCCCCCAGATGTTGCGCCCGGTGCGGCTGCCCCCCCTGCACCCCCCACGCTATGCCACTTGGTACCACTGTACCCCTAAACATTTTTTTATATATCTAAAAAATCACTGGATAGCACCACTCTGGCAAGACAGTCTGCAGGCAAGTAGAGTCTCAGCCTGTGATAAAAGAAGGGAAAGAAAGAAAGAAAGAAAGAAAGAAAGAAAGAAAGAAAGAAAGAGGGAGGGAGTAAGGGAGTAAAAGATGTGATTATACTAGTCTCCCATCAAAATTCTTTTTGTGCCATGTTATGCTGATGTAATCCTCCTGCACCCCTGGTAAAACACCACACAAAATGGACCTGGATGCAATTCTACATAGGATCCCATCAAGGTTGCCCTGTTGCACTGTCCCCAGAGCATGCCTACAGTAATGTAGACTTGGTGGGGAAGACATAACTGAACCAAAAGAACGGAGAACTTCCTAAGCACAGTGCTCAGTACCAAATTTGTAAATGTATACACACAAAATACTCTAGGATTTCTAATATATCAATTTGGAAAAAGGACCGGGTAATTCAGAAATCCCAGGGGAAATATTGGATGAGGAGAATGTTATAGGCACCCCTAAAAAAAAGATTTGAGAATAGGCTGACAGATTGTAACACAAATATGCCGTCAATACTTTGGAAAAGCCCTAATGGTGTGGGAGAGATGCTATTCCAGCACCAGCTCCTCCACTGTTCTCTTGTCCTAGCTCCTCCTCCTCTGCATGCTGTAACAAGCACATAGTGCATGCCTAAAAATGCATTTCATCTCAAGATGACAGTAGACCTGACAGTGCTGCCTGAGTCGCTGCCATTTGTCACTGCATTGCATACCAAAAAGGTGTCAAAAGTAGTTTCATTTCTAAGGAGACAGAAAAAGGTAGTAGAAAAGTTACATTACTCATATCAGAATTGCAAAAGATTGATTTTATTTGAATAACCAAAAGTGTTGTCACTGGATGAAATAGAACCAACCTAAGACAGCCTCACAGGGCTCATGTGCCTCTTTTCTTTCTGGCAAAACACATGTGTCTTCAGCATGGCAGGCAGCCATTCCACAGATTTATTTTAATGTGTATATCAGAGGCATTTTACTCCACTCTTCAGCTGACAAGATTCCTGGGCAAGCTTACATAAAATCAATAAAAATAATAACAAATCAACAAAAGCAGGGAGGGAAAGCCGAGCCGATAAAAAACAATTAGCAATGAGCCAGCATTAAAAACAAATTTTAAAATCCAAAGCGAAAAGCTTCTTACTTTGTGCCAAAAGGAAAACAAACTTGTGTCCATTAAACCTCGAGGGGAGAAAATGGGAAGGTCAGGGCACCACAACAAAGAAAGCCCCGACTGTATTTGATGTTGGGCTAAGTAATGTGTTTCCTCAGTGCAAGGAATTAATCCTGCTTCACAGAACATCCCCCCCTCTTTTCCCCCACCCTAAGCCTATTCTGGGGTTACCCCAACCCTCCAGAGCAGATTTCGGGGGTGGCCTGGGCAGAGGGAGGAGCAGCTGGGTAAACTTGCCCTGGGCCTCAGAGGGCTAAGCTGGGTGGACTTGCACTGTCATGCCAAGAATCGTATTGCAACAAGACTCCCGGCCTAGGCCTCGGGTAAGTTTGGCATGGGCCTGGGACATGCATAGGAAGAGGAGAGGGGGGAAAGTTATGTTGCACAAGCAAAAATCCTGGCATTGATGGAACATGTTAGTTGGATACCACTCTTTATCGTCAGTCACCATCCACCTCATCTTAGATGGCAAGGAGACCTGAAGAAGCACCTTTCAGCAGATTATAAGATCCCAGCAAATTCCTCTGGGGGAAGAAAGTGCTCTCAGGTACCTGGTCCCAAGCAGTGAAGATTAAAACCAGCCCCTTGTTGAAACTTCCTCCAATTTTTTCTTGCCACTTAGCATCAAATATCTATTTTCCACTGATCACTTGAGAGAGTTTGGCTTTTCTGGTCATCTCTTCATGTTTTCACTGTAAGTGAGGTACCCATTTGATATTTACATTACCGAATACATTCAGGAACCCCAATTAAGGGGTAACCTTCAAACTGAAGCTCAAAATCCTACCATTCAGCCTCCCACTACTAAACCACAACCTTCCTAAAACAAGTTGTTTTCATTGCATCTTTTTTTAAAAAAACAAAAACAAATTGTGAATAAACAAGTTATGCAAGAAATGGAGGAGGGGATCTTTTCCCAAAAAAGAACAAACATTGCCTGGGGCTTAATATGGATGTCTGAATGTTCACTCACATGGATGATATAATGTGCTCTACTAAAAATAATATAAATTAACGATGAGCATTTCCCCTCTCTGAAGCCAACTAGCACACACCTTCTTCAAGCATCTGCCTGCAGCAACTTATCTACTTTTTCAAGTGCCAGGAACATGCTAATAGAACATTGTGAATGAAATCTGAGGCTTGTGATTTGCCTCCGGACAAGGCAGGGAGAGACAGAGAGAGAGATTTAAAGTGATAATTGTAAGGATCTTGGGCAAATCATTCGAAGGTCCCCTTTTGCTTCCCACAACTTTCTCATCCACACCATCCAATTCCTCCTCCTCCTCTCTCCACTCTCAAACATTTGATACTTGTATAAAAGGACTGACTTATTTCATGCTAACAGCAAAGAAAATACAAAGAACATCGGATACATGCTGAATTAGATGTGTTGAATGTATCAACTTGTACACAGAGTTTTTCTTTCGAATGGCAAAGAAGCATTCCACAAAATCTATCGGTGAAGTCCATGCAGATATCTGATACAATAAAAACAGAGCCCATCCTGCCAGAGCTGACCCTATTATTAGGCAATGTGAAGAGACTAACACTCAGGCAGAATATGCTGATGAGCAGGAAGTGGTAGAGTGGTGTTGAAGGACAGAGCTGGGTGTGCCGAGTGTCCTGCCCTGCCCCGCTTAATGGACATTGTCCATTGCCAGTGTTAAAGTAAGATTCGACTGCCAATTTGATCAGGTTTTGTAGGTTAGGTAAGACAGGAACATCTTGTCCTTTGCCTCAGGCAGTCTAAAGTCTTGGGCTGGTTCTGCCTCATGTTTAGGTCATGCATATAACTGAACAAAGTTTAAAGATATAACCTGAATGTGTTTAAATCATCTTGAAGTTTGCTGATGTTAAAATATATTAAAACCTGACCCCTTTGGAGTTTAATTTGATGGCACCAAATTTCAGACAAAGAGAAGCAATAACTAAGAGTGTATATTTATGTAGGTGGAACCACTTTTGACATAGAGAGGATTAACAGTGCTCTACCAGCACAGAGTGGAAGCTGTGGAATGAATCTTGTTGGAGATATCCATCACTCCATTTAAGATCTCCATTATATGACAACATTGAAGAAAAATAAGAGCTCCATATGTAACTAACATTTGTTAGAATGAAAAGAGAAACAATATAACCACCAGGAAAAGTACAGTTCTCCTCTTGTTCGCATTGATATACCCAAAATCTTACATTTATTGAAATGTTGTGAAGTAAGGAGTTAAATGCTTCTGTAGCTATGGAAGAAGCAAGAAGCTCTTGGGGTATGAATGCTGTGCACCCCTTCATTGTAGACTCGGGCTGTATAAACCATTTTTCATAAAGACACTACCGGGTCTGCTGTGCCTCATTTTTCCAGAAGGAATCACAGACCCTGGGTAAGCATACCTGGAACCCCTTAATCTCACACTGCTGTAGAGATTAGTGTGGCATGTAACAATAGTCTATGGCTACTGAGCATTATTTTTGCAATGGTGCTCACAGCCTGAACACTGGAAATAGAGGGGAAATGGCATACCCAGAATTACTTAGGCACAGTGACTTCATCTAAACACATTTCCTATATTTGCACTGGTAGCTTGAGTGCTGTGTTTTATTACCCTGTTTTTCTAAGCAACCCCCTTCTTCTCTGTGTATTGGAAAAAGCAGGACTTTGAAGCATATGTTCCACTGAAAACAATGTCTGTTCTAATTTTGGGCTTTGCGTAGTCACAAAGGTGAGTAAGGATAACTTATTGCCAGCACCCCCTTCGTCGCTTCTCATCACTTCTTCTCTTTCTTCTGGTTTCCACTTCCCACTAATATTCACAATATGTTGCGTGAAGTGATGAAAACGAGAAGCTTATTTCCATGACAAATTCAGAAATCACAACAGGGTGGAAGAAAGCGCATTTAGCAGGCAAAAGATTCATGCAGAAAAGACTTCCCTTCTCATCCATTTGACAAAGTGTGTTCAGTATATTATAATCCAAATTTCTCTACATATACTGTTATCATTTTTCTTTTCTTTTGTTTTTTACCATTCAGATAGTGCTCCCTAGCTTCTCTGGAGTATGCAGGGAAATCTGGTGAATGTTACCATTCTTTTGCAGACAGGAAGTGACCGCATCATTAACACTATCCAGAAGTGAGCAGTGATAAACCTTGGCAAGGCTACAGACAGAAAAGCTGGGCAGAACGACACAAGACACTGAGATATATATATATATATATATATATATATATATATATGTTCCAGTTCAAGGAAGAAAACCCACATGAACTCAAAACACACCCCATCCAAATAAACCTTGTCCTTTGCAGACTATAAACAGAATATGTTCGAGGCTATATATATATATTAGCTATGGCAGGGTAGTGAAATGAGATATTTTGCTGTTTCAATATAAATGCTGAATACATTTTACTTTGGGTTTATATATACACTTCAGAATATGGTCTCATTCAGTAAAGACAAGTTGTAGCTACCATCTTGAATTTATCTTGCGAGAGAATTTCCTGCTGTTATTATCTCAAGATCCTGGCAGCTTAATTGACACTGAATGCTGCTAACTCCACATAAAATGAAAAGAAATGTACTGGGAGGGAGGGCCTTCTGAGTTTCCTTTAGGTTTAACCTGAAACTTGAGAAGTTACCTGACTACATGCTGCCTGTGACTCTTACTGCTGTGCAGAGTGAATAGCTGCCACCACTCCTGCTTCGGTGTAAAATAAGAGCTTGCTAATGAACTTCCCTTATTTTCTGAAAGGTTCACAACACTTAATTCATATAATCTGTGACCCTCCCTGTCCCCCACCTATAGAAGTAGAAGAATGCAAATACACTGCTATTTAATCTATCATTCACTATGAAAATTAGATTTTTTACATCTGAATTCTGCTCAACTGAATTTCCCTCCTTAATGAGTTCAGGGGAATCTAAATATTTGCTTTGGCTCACTAGATATTTTTGCTGCATATATTTAGCCCGTTCAGGCATGATCAGCAGCAGGAGAATTCAATAGACTTTCTTCCATGTTCCTAAGTCTGTGGATTTGATAGCCAAGTGCCAGCTTAAAGTAGTCCAGACAACAGAGTGGAAAAAGAAACTTTAATACTAGGTGTGAAAATGGTGTGAAAATTACGTAGTGTAAAGGCACAAGATGTAGCCTGCACTTTGAGAGGGAGGAGAGACACGCCAACCAGTAAACCCAGCCACCCTTCTCTTGGCCATCACCCTTGCCACCAAGAGGGCGTCTTACGTCCATGGCTGCTCCCAGTAAACAGACCTTTAATATCTGTAACTTGCTTAGGGGCTCAGCAAACTCACTATACTGGGTAGTCTGCTCAGGCAATTAGTTGTAGAATGAATTCCAAGGACTCCAGAGTAAAGGAAACCAAAATCAAATAGGGCACTAGAGGTTTTTGTAGAACAGTAATTAAAATCATTATTGTCAAAATATCATCATTTTAAAATTTGATTTAATCAGTCCGAACACAAGAGCAAGGGGAAATTACAAAGGAAAACACATTGGAAAGCTGAGTGTAGTCGGACATCCACTCTGGACTTGAAGAAGACTGGTTTTGAAAAGCTTAAGGGACTTCTGGGTGAGATCCCCTGGTCAGAAATACTCAAACAGAAGGTGGAGTCCAAGTTGGATGGGAGTTTCTTAAAGGTGGAATATTGAAGGCAGAAAAGCAGACGATTCCAACAAGAAAGAAAAGTGGGAGGCATGTGAAGAAACTGATGTGGCTACATAAGAACAACATAACTGTTAGGTGGATTTGTAGCTGGTTGACTAACCCAATCCAAAAAGTGTTCATTAATGTTTTCATCGTCCTGGGAAAAAGTGACAAGTGAAGTGCCGCTGGGCCTGTTGTTATTCAATGCCTTTATAAAAGACATTATAAAAGAATTGACGGGATGCTCATCAGATTTTCAGATGACACAAAACTGGGAGGGGTAGTGTCAGGGTGCTCCCTAGCAAAGGAATGCACACAGCAGAAACTTCACTCTTTATTGCCAAAGCTAACACAGCAGTTTCCATGGCTCTGAATACCACACACACCAATTTAGCGTCTATGCAGCTATTCCCAGGTCTGTATTCTACAGAGCAGTTGCAGCAACAGGGGCCATGCCTCCTCCACCATCTTATGTATAATCCCCCTATATCTGCGTGGAAGCTGCCTCTGTTCTTCATGCCTCAATTCTCTCCTGGTTCTGGGGGAAAGTGGAGCAGGAGAGGGTGGGGAAGCACCTGGCCCTTCACTTGCCTGACCTTCCACTCTCTCTGCATGCTTTAATCTTGATAACTATGGTGCCTGGCACCTGATATTTAATTTTCAAAAATACACGATTGTTGATGTCACATGTCACTAAGGCTCAAGAAGACAGGAATTGCAGGAAGAAGCCCAGAATAACTAAGGAGATAGTACAAGAATACTTGGCTAGTTTAGATGCATTCAAGTCTCCAGGGCCAGATGAACTGCATCCAAGAGTATTAAAAGAACTGGCAGATGTGATCTCAGAACCACTGGCAGTCATCTTTGAGAATTCCTGGAGAACAGGCGAAGTCCCGGCAGACTGGAGGAGGGCAAATGTTGTCCCTGTTTTCAAAAAGGGAAAAGAGAGGACCCAAATAATTACCGCCCAGTCAGTCTGACATCAATACCAGGGAAGATTCTGGAGCAGATCATTAAGCAAACAGTCTGTGAGCACCTAGAAAGGAATGCTGTGATCACCAATAGTCAGCATGGATTTCTGAAAAATAAGTCATGTCAGACTAACCTGATCTCGTTTTTGACAGAATTACAAGCCTGGTAGATGAAGGGAACGCAGTGGATGTAGCCTACCTTGATTTCAGCAAGGCATTTGACAAGGTGCCCCATGATATTCTTGTAAAGAAGCTGGTAAAATGCGGTCTTGACTATGCTACCACTCAGTGGATTTGTAACTGGCTGACTGACCGAACCCAAAGGGTGCTCATCAATGGTTCCTCTTCATCCTGGAGAAGAGTGACTAGTGGGGTGCCACAGGGTTCTGTCTTGGGCCCAGTCTTATTCAACATCTTTATCAACGACTTGGATGATGGACTCAAGGGCATCCTGATCAAATTTGCAGATGACACCAAACTGGGAGGGGTGGCTAACACCCCAGAGGACAGGATCACACTTCAAAACGACCTTGACAGATTAGAGAACTGGGCAAAAGCAAACAATATGAATTTTAACAGGGAGAAATGTAAAGTATTGCACTTGGGCAAAAAAAATGAGAGGCACAAATACAAGATGGGTGACACCTGGCTTGAGAGCAGTACAGGTGAAAAGGATCTAGGAGTCTTGGTTGACCACAAACTTGACATGAGCCAACAGTGTGACGCAGCAGCTAAAAAAGCCAATGCATTTCTGGGCCTCATCAATAGGAGTATAGCATCTAGATCAAGGGAAGTAATAGTGCCACTGTATTCTGCTCTGGTCAGACCTCACCTGGAGTACTGTGTCCAGTTCTGGGCACCACAGTTCAAGAAGGACACTGAAAACTGGAACATGTCCAGAGGAGGGCAACCAAAATGGTCAAAGGCCTGGAAACGATGCTCTTATGAGGAACGGCTAAGGGAGCTGGGCATGTTTAGCCTGGAGAAGAGGAGGTTAAGGGGTGATATGATAGCCATGTTCAAATATATAAAAGGATGTCACATAGAGGAGGGAGAAAGGTTGTTTTCTGCTGCTCCAGAGAAGCGGACACGGAGCAATGGATCCAAACTACAAGAAAGAAGATTCCACCTAAACATTAGGAAGAACTTCCTGACAGAAAGAGCTGTTCGACAGTGGAATTTGCTGCCAAGGAGTGTGGTGGAGTCTCCTTATTTGGAGGTCTTTAAGCAGAGGCTTGACAACCACATGTCAGGAGTGCTCTGATGGTGTTTCCTGCTTGGCAGGGGGTTGGACTCGAGGCCCTTGTGGTCTCTTCCAGCTCTATGATTCTATGATTCTATGAATTCTCCCTGGAAATGATAGAAGTTGAGTGTCATGGTACTGCTAGAGAATGCCGCGGAGGAGCAGGAACAGGCAGAGGGAGGTGGGCAAGAAGTGGCGATTGAGGAAAGAAGGGAAAGCCAGGAGGCGGGAAGGCTCTCGGATGTTGAAGCAGAGCCTCAGCCTCAGCACCGCACAGGAAGGTCTGGCACCGATAGTGAGACAATGCCTATTCCATCTGCCAAGGAGAGGAGAGAGTTAAAGAGGAAGGGGGAGAGGCATCACATGAAACTTCCCTGCCTTTTCTGTTGGAGGAGAAGCCTGCGTAGGCCACTCCCAGAATCTGAACCGGAAGATTCAGATGCACAATTGTAATGCGCTGTCTGTACATATGTAAAATAAAGAACTGTATATATCTCTGAGTGAGCAGAGGTACTTATTGAGAAGAGCATTCACAAGCCATCACACTGAGCCAGATGGAAAAGTTGAACTTTTTCCGTGTTTATAGTAAAGATGTTCTTTCCTGTGAATTTATTTATTATTCCCCCCCCCAACTCCAAATCATGATGCTTTGCTGATTTTGCGTACGTTGTGTTATGTTTTCATTCTGTTGAGAAAAACAGTGGCATTCAGTCAAATGGCATTACTGATACTGCAGTTCCATTATAACGCTGTGAAGATCTCTGAGTTAGATATATTCCTTTCCACCACATTGGGGCTTATAGATGCTCGTCTTTTAAATGTATAAATATTTATAAACTCGTTCTGCAGAGCTGGTCTCAGTTGTCATAGGGGTATTTGAGTACTCTTGCCCTGCTTTTGAAAAATCAACCAGGACCTCTCACATTGAAAATGTGCCAGTAACTGTAAACCAAATGAGTGGTGGATGCCTTTACTTAAAAAATGTTTTCAAATGCTATATTTAAGAATTTGTCAGGCAAAAAAATAAAAACGTGCCTCACAATGAAAATCCTATATAATGGATTAGAAGATGAACCAAATCCCAATGTTTATTCAGTCTAATGGAAACAAAGAATAAACTTGCTAGCATATCACAATAGAGAATTGTAGAAGGAGCCATAATAGGTCTCTTCTGACAGCCAGTGAAAAATAACATTTGTGCCTATAAAAAAATCCCTCATGTCTATATTTCATGTTGAAAAGCCAATAGGAGACTTCAGCCAAACATTTTTATCACTACACTATCTAGATTTATATTCTGTTTGAAGTCCTCAAAATGAAACTTTCAATCTACTCCTGGCTAAGTATAAAATTATTTTCACTTTCCCTGGATATGGGACTGAGGGGTGGAGAACAGCATAGTCAATGGTCAGGGATGATGGAAGTTGGAGTCCCAAGAACATCTCTCTTACACTACAATTATAGCAGACACACCAGCACAGTCTTTAAAGGCTGTGTGTAATGGTGGTGGTTGTGGCAACTTTGGTAAAGGAAATGGAACATTTCAGGAAATCTAAAATGGGTGGGAAAGAACCATAATGTTCTAGGCTGCCCTTGAACTATAGCATGTTAACATTCTGTTAAAGTAGCTTGGGCTAAAATTTTACAGCCTGGTCTAGAGACTTTGCAAATGATTCCTACTGCAGGTGCTGGGCCACCTGAACTTCCTGATCTGGTGTTATATCCTTCTTCCTCAGCACAAGAAAACTCAAAAACAACTGTGGTAATCTTAATCAAGAAAGAGATCAATGAGCACATGTTTTTGCATGAGGGTCGCAAGTTAAAAGGGGCAGGTGATGGAAAAGAACTCTGCCTGAAACCTTGTTGCCATCAGTAGACCTGTTTTCCTGGCACCTGCACCACAAATTCAAAAACTGTGATGAGGAGCTTGTTAGGAATACAGTGAGAAGCAGGAACAGGGAAGATCCAAGGCAGATCATATCAAAAACAATCCACTTACAGGAGGATTTGATATCTATATATTAGTGGTTCCCAAACTTTTATTCCCCACAGACCAACTGAAAATTGCTGATGGTCTTGGATTTTTCTGCCCATTCAGTACTGTTCTAGATGCTGAATGTTTTTATTATTGTTGTATTTTACAGGCATGCCGCAGACCACCAGAATGAAGGCCCCTGGACCGCAGGTAGGGAATCCCTGCTATAATTGAATTGAGGCTGCTAGAGGTTACTTTTGCAAGCAGGTGGAGCAACCTAGGGCTTAAACCAGGTATAAGGAAACTGTGGCCCTCTAGATGTTACTGTCCTACAACTCTCACCATCTCTGACATTGGCCATGCTCACTGGGACTGATGGGAACTGGAGTCCAACAACTTGAACTGGAGGGCTAAAAGTTCCTCACCCTTGGCCTAGCCAGTTTCTGTGTCAACATACGATCATACCATAGCTGAAGAGACTCCTTGCTGATCCAGTACGGTGAGGTATTTGGTTATATGTGAGGTGGTCCATTGCATCTCCCAAGGCCAAGGAAGTTTGAGTGTTGTGCAACAATGAATCACTGTTCAAGGTTTCTTTCACTGCAAGACAGTTTTCAAGCAAAGGTGGCAATTGACTTGCTCTGCATTCATTCACTCTAATCTTAACAACACACAAGGAAATCATTATCCCTGTGTTCACAGTAGATGTTATATAGTTGGTGGTTCACTAAACTAAAAACTTAAGCTCATATGGAGTTTCAGACTTTATAATAACAAATCTCCACACTTCCTACACACGGAACAAAAAGGTAGACTGCATGGGGGTGTTCACTTCCTTTTGTGTTCATTGCATAAGCCAAAAAACCAACTCCACAAAGTAAATGAAGGTTCTCCTATTGTCCTGTATAAACACCCCTTTGTTGCTTTCCAGTGAAAAACGCTTCTTAAAGAAAGCTTTATATAGATTTCAATAAAGAAAGCACTGTATGAAAAACTGGATTCACAACACAAATTAGACCAGCTCTGTTGCACTGACTGGTGCATGAAAACGAAAGCCAACAATGTCAGATAATATTTTATTTGGAGCTAAAGTGACCCATTGTGAACTTTGACATGCCACCACTTCCAAGTTATGTGTACCACTTTGACAAAAACTGGGCTGAATTTCTTTTGGCTGGGAGCCTATAGGGACCTATATTCCAATTTTACCTAATATTAGAAGTAATTTTCTTTTCGCCTTACTGGCCAGTCACAATTTTCCCCACCTACTGTTTCGTCTTTGCCGAATCTCCTCATAGTTCTCGGTACTATTCTTTGTTTGTTTGCTTGCTTCATTTTAAAAATAAAACTCAACTGTTTTGCTCCAGGAAACATATACGAAAAATGGTCAGAGCCCTCTTTTAAAATCTAATTGACTCCTGTATCAATCTGTTGCTGCTGGCTTATCAAAAGCAAGGAGAGCCACGGTGCTGTAGTCTTAAAAAACAAACAAACACTCTTTTGTTACCATAGATCCAAAAGGGAGGTATGTACATATTTGTAAAATGGATTCTTGCAGACTTTTCTCTGACAGTGCCCTAACTTCTGCCCAGAAAATTGGATTATTTGAGGTGATTTAATTGTGTGGTAAATGCTCATATCAATACAGTCAAAACTTCACATTTTGGCAAAGCTTTGGAAGAAGACTCAGCTATAGGATCTCTTTGAGTGTTATGCGCTGAATAATGTGTGCAAAGAACAGCACCCTCCTAGGAGGGCCTATACTTCAGGATTAGGAGACAGGATCATGTGTGTGTGTGGCCAGATCATGCTTGGATGTCCTATAACATTTTATCAAAAGTCTGGAAAGGGATATGGTAGAAGGTTTACTAACTCCATATCTATTTATTACACAGATATCCCACCTTTCCTCTGCAAGGTAGGTCAGGCCAAGAGAGTGTGACTAATCTAAGCTCAGCCAATGAGCTTCATGACAATGTGGGTCTCTCCAGTCTTGGTCTAACTGCTACCGAGAGAGGGGTGGAAAAGCAAGTAGGAGACTCTTGGTGAGAAGGCTACCCTGTAAATTAAACTCTCAAACAGTAACAGTGATAAAGCAGTGGAAAGGTTCATTTATAACTGAGAATAAGAGGATCTGTGGTGCTTTTACAGATTATTACTCTCCATTACACACTTCCAAAATGACTCTTATATCCACATTCTACTAGGAAGAGCATGGGTTTAGGAAAGTTACAAGGAAGAGAATTCTACATGTGTGTGTTTAAAATTAAAACTAGAAGCCCATGAAGGAATGGTATTTCCTTACAAAGAGTTTGGGGATATATTCAACCACCCACTAGCCGCTTTATTTCATAGGATTGTCTCCAAATAGATTATTCTTGAGAAGAATCCAGAATCCAGATTGTATTTAAATCTGATTAACAGAAGAACCCTAACCCCTGATCCGCTGAGCTGGAAGGGATTAGGATGTGGTGAGGGTGTCCCTCCACCCAGCTCTGCCATTGCAGAGCTCCCTGTTGCACCAACTGAAAGCACAGGCAGTCTGAAGCTATGATGACATTGCACAGCCACAAGAAATGGCTGTATAGTTAAGGGGAGGAGCTAGATTATATTGCATGAATCTGCTGTAGCTCACTATGGGTTCAATTCAGAGAAGAATAAATCAGCAGGTAGCCTTCGCTCTGTCGTCTCATGCGAGAGTTTGTACAATACCATAAAAGGCAGATGTGAGAGCAGTTCTTGCGCTTCCACTTCTGTAAGAGGTTGCACAAGCTCCAGAAAGAGTTGTACAATAGCACTTCCATCAGTAGAAGTCCCTTTTCTCACGAAGTATTTTTTGATCCCACCTCTTATCTTGCCTATTTCTTTTCAAACCCTTCCGTATTACTTTCAGCTGGACAAAACAAAGATGAAAATATAAACATCTTCATGTTGAACAGTTAAGCCAGCGATGTATACAACATGGTCACAGAACGAAGGTGGGGAGGAATCAAATACCTTTTAAATCAGTACTGTAATTTACATGATAGATGGCCTGTGAAAGTTTAATACAGAGTAATGGAAATAAGTTACTAATGCACAGGTCAGAATGCACATAAATTGAAAGGGGGCAGGCTTAATGCAGAGGACACCTAATAAAAGAAACATACAAACTGGCAGCCAGCCAATGCAATATTAATATCTACAAATAGAGCACTGTATTAGATATGACAAACATTTCCACTGCCAGCCTAAATGAAAGAAAATGTTTAGTCTTAGCACACAAGTATGACTATGAAGTCATCAGAGGCCTTCATTTCAGGCCCATTTAAAATAAGCATTCCAACTAGCATTTCTTTCAACCAACATGTCTTCTGGGCACCATTTACAAAAATTCAAATAGTGACATAAGGGACCATCTTAGATTCCATTCAGTACCAGACCTGCCCAGAGCATCAATAGATCCTTTGGCCATTGCTGCTGCTGTTCAAAGAACTGCAGTTCTGCACTATGGTAGGGAACAAGGGTTTTCTTGCTGCTATAGTAATTGACAGGCTCCTTTCACTCCTGTTCCAGTCTGTTATGTGGCATTCAATAAAACAATGTCTGGAGGAGATTCATCACAGTGCTATCTCCTTTTTAAAATTTAAAGTCCTGGCAGCTTGCTGGAGTGCACGATCTCATGGCAGTTGCTAGCATGCAGTCTGGCAGGCCAACAGGTCCAAAGTCCTGTCGCCTTGTCTTGCTTCTTTAAAATAATTGTTCTGAATGCACAATACAGTTTTCATATATTAATTCTTGACTACCTTCAACCTGGAAGACAGGAGACTATGCAAAATGTTGCCTGTGGAACACCGAAGAATTCTGTTAAAGCACAGCAGCAGAGGATTATTTTTCTTCTAAGTTAAAATCCTATGCAGATCTGCTTAATAAAAGAAAGAAACAAAAAGTTTTCAAATTCTGCAGGCACCATTCTAGACAGCCTCATATGTTATGTCCCATTGGAGCACACAGAGAGAGGGAGGAGAGAGGAGAGAGAAGCAAGAATATGCACTACTTGGCCATGTCTTAATGACCTTAAGGTAAGAAAAAGAGAAGTCTCCATTCTGCCCTGCCCTCATAAATAAAAAATTATTGAGAAAAGTGAATCCCCTATATGTCTACAAGTTGGCGTACCTATTCTACTCTGGAGAGGCTCATGTGCCAGTTAATTCCATCCACTTTGGCCAAAAGGAAAAAAGGTCAGAACCATTTTTAAAATTTTCCATTATAGTGAATGTAAACCACAGAGCTTCATTTTATGCAGAGCAACTTGGGATACAGAATACACACTGAAGTGCAGAGAACATACAGCAACTCAGAAAGAGAATGAGATTTACAGAGCATGCCAATGCAAATTGAAACCTATGCAACCCCCTAAAGCATATGGGTGGACTTAGACCAAGAGAACGGCTCAGCTATGAAACTCACTGGATGACCTTACACTTGTCTCTATCTTTCAGTCTACCTGATGAGAATAAAATGGGGAAACTGGCTGTGTTTCTTCGCGAACTTCTCAAGTAAATTAAGTGATTGTACAAACATCTGAGAAAAGCAATGAATTTCCACAGCCTTGCCCATATACAGATTTTAACTATTTGAGATATGTAAGCATAAGGTGCATGCATTATATTAGACCCACAGAAAGAGCCCAAATTCAACTATTGGTATGGTTATCAAAGCCACCTAGGTTTTTTCTCTCAACAAATTTCTGTGAAATACGGGGATTAGGGAAAATGTGAAATTTTATCTCTCTTAACAACAAATGGCTGGCACTAGGCGTTCTCTTAAAACACCTTTTTAATGGTCCCCTGAGATCACTTATCACTTCCAATCCTCTTTACATTCTAGCACACACTCCACCATGAACAGGATTTTATAAATACTATCAGCTTCATACTTCTTCTTTGACTTCCTCAGACAAAACACTTCTTCATTTCTCATTGTGCCATTATCTTTAAACACTCAGAAACATCATTTTTAATGCATACCTGTTGCCAAAAACAGCAAAGACTCTTACATTTATACATGCAAGAGGAGATAAGTGCTTAACCCTGTTACCGTACAATTAGAGTCTTTCAGCATGACATTTGCTTGACAGATCCCTGCAAATCCCTCCAGTGACTTGCTGCAGACTGTGTTCCTTAAAAAAAAATCTCCAGATGAGCCCCATTGAAAGGCAAACCAGTGCCTAAGAACAGCAGCAGCCAACTATATTTTAGTGCCTCAGCCAGAAAATCCATATGGCCTTCTCCCTTCAAGCTGTAGTAGCATTTGGGGGGTGGGGTTCCACTTTGGTTGTGCCTGCCTAATTTGCACTTTCCAGAACAACTGAACTAAACTGAAATGTTTGAAAATCCCAACTTCTCCACACTTTGTGATGCCATTTTCTAAACAAGCAAGGTGTACCAAAATCCATATAATAGGGGGACGTGCCTGTAAAAAGTGCATATCACAGTAGTAATAAACATACAAAAAATGCATCATGTTAGGGAAAATTGTTTGTAAAATATCTGTACATTTGGCAAAATTTCATACAAAAATGTGTATATTAAGAGAAAAATGCACTAAATGTTCTTTGGGGGATTTTTTTTAATGCAAACCGATGTGAAAAATATGACAAACTGAAATGAAGAGTGGAAAAAATGAGAAACTGAGGGTAACCAAAATTAACGATTTGTCCTTTCCTAGGTAATATATACCATATATTTTACACAAAAACCACAAAATGTTTCAATCCTTTTTATTGCTAAGAAATTTTATCTACAAGCACATAAATGCACAAAAGAAAAAGGTGTGTGTGTATCTATGCATACACTTACACTAAGCAGAGAATAAACTTTTGATTTCATATATTTCCAATTGGGGGGAAAGAAAACAAGCTGTCCCTATTGCAAAGCTTCTAATAAGTTATATGGTTGAACATCATCTCGTACCTTATTGTTCTAGTGCAGTACATAATAAACATGGACCATTTTTCAATGAAACTTTTATTTCCCTTTCTGTCTTTTCTCTATTTAATAATGTCTGTAAGTTTCAACATGTATATCACATCCCAGATCCTACTAATCTTCTCTTTCAGTGATGGTGGGTTTTTCTGTTTCCACTTATGGCCAACTGCTATTGTAGCTGTTGTGAATTCCCTTTCAAGGCATCCCAAATCAGCTGCTGATTTAAACACAATGCTCACTTTTGTACTGATTTATCTATAAGCAGAGAAACAGAACTTTTATTGAAATATTTAAAAAGTTCAGTAAATTTAAGTGTGATGGTGAAGTCATACGTATCAGACTTCTGCACTACAGGAAAAGAGAAATGTATCTGAAAGTGGTTATGCAAAGCGCCTCAGAGGAGATCAAACCCAGTACACAATTATATATTAAAGCAAACCTAATTTGAATTATTTTACCGTTACCCATTGTGCCCTATACCCAATACAGCAAGCATGGAACTTAATGTTATCATATTTCGTTGGAAGCTGCCCAGAACCTAGTCTGGGGCAACCTAGTCAGATGGTGGCATCATCATCATCATGCCTTTATTGTTGCTAGCTGATCATTTCTTTCTTAGGCCAACTGCTGGTTAGCAAACCAGTATAATAATCTACTCAGAACCTAGTCTTAGGAAACCAGTCATTACACATCCACCATGGCTCAACAACCAGCGCTTCCATTTTAGCCTTGGCTCCTGCCGATTTGAGCTTCCTCTTGACACCCTTCATTCTCACACTAGCTGCTGACCTTCCTGAGCCCCTACTGTTTGCTTGTCCGGACTCTGTAGCCCTGCTGACGCCTATCAACTCTCTAGAATAGGGGTGGGGCACCTTCAGCCTTCCAGATGTTGTTGAACTACAACTTGCATCATCCCTGACCACTCACCACGTGGGCTGGGGCTGCTGGGAGTTGGAATCAAACAACATCTGGAAGGCCAAGGGGTTCCCTACACATGCCTCAAAACTAACCGTGCCACTTTGAATGATGTTTTACTAAATAACTTGGGGCAATGGCCCTGTTACCATTTGGAATGCTGATCCTTAGTGTACCATCATAGATCCAATAGGCAGGAGCAAAGGAGAAGGGAAACAAACTATACAGAACTCAATGGTGTGCGGTCCATGGACTAGTGGGACTAGCCTAGTCCCCTTAATGTTCCCAGCGGGAACTTTCCATGTACCTTCTGTGATGGAACTCCTACTTGGGGACTTCCCTGGCTTTTTTCTGGCCCACATAGGAGCAGTCTGGATAGTTAGCCTTGGTGAAGACTTGACGTTTTCCTCCCCAAAAAAGTTTTTGCGTTTCTGCTGAAATGAGGCTGCATTTTAATGTTGCATTTTAATCTTGTTTTTTAAGTTGTATTTCAATCAATTGTTTTATATCTGGTGTTATACCTGAGCCTGGTCTTGGCTGGGGGGGCGGGGTATAAATAAAATTTATTATTATTATTATTATTACCTGCTTAGCCAGTGTCTCCAGGCTCCGTGTATGTGTGCATGCACATCTCTCTCTCTCTCTCTCTCTCTCTCTCTCTCTCTCTCATTACCTCTGTAATCATAACAACACACACATGAGTAGGAAGTGGCTGCTTGAAGCAGAACTGCAGCCCCTTCTTCATTTTTTAAGGAAGAGCAGTCAGAAAGCCTGATGTGCCTATGGGGTAGGGGTGGAACAGCCACTGTGTGTGTGTGTTTTGAAAGCGTGGTGTTTTAATAACATAAACCCCCAGCCCCAATCTGCCAGAACCTGAAGGATCAGCAGCAACATGCAACAACCACCAACAACATGATAATAGAAAGGGAGATGATGAAGAAAGGGTGTGTGTTAAAAAGGGGTTTTTTTAAGGGGGGGTCCACGCTTCCACCTGGGGTTGTCTTTTTAAAAAACAAACAAGGCCAAGCCAAACTTTTCTTCTTTTTGCAAGCTGCTTGGAACTGGCAAATTGACCAGCTGGGGAATGGACTTCCTTGGGAGGCTGTGGATTCTCCTTCATTGAAGGCTTTTAGGTATCTGCCAGAGATGCTTGAGTGGAGTTCTGTCTTGCAGGCAGTTGGACTAGAGGACCCTTGGGGTCCCCAACTCTACATTCAGCCCTGTTCCCCTATAAGAAAATTCACTGCACGCCACTGACAGAACCTGTTGGCATGCTTGTGTTTCCATGCATGCAAGGACATGTTGGGGAAAGGTGTGTCGTATGCAAAGGGAAATTTGTATCTAGCTGCTACTAAGTACATGCATGGCTGGCAGAGAATAAGCCCCCAGATGTGTAGTCAGCAGGATTATTAACTGTGTGAGCCACTGAACAAACAGTTGCAATGCCACCCTGGTTTCTAAGGTTTCTTAACATCTTTCTACCGGTGCTCCACACCTTCCTGATTAGCAGGGCTTAGGGGCAATGGCTGCTTTTGAAGCTCCTGTACTGATCTGTTTTAACTTTCTAAATTGACCGGCTTTTTCTGTTGGAAGACAGCCAATTGCTTTAATGGCTGCTTTGTATTTTGTTTTTTTGAGGAAGGGGGAAGGTACGCTGCTGCTTCTAGGAGTTTTGTGATTCTGTATTATTATATTTAACATATAATAAATATATATTAAAAGGCCTTCAGCCTTTTTAAAAGACATATAGGAGAAAGTGGGACAGAAATGGTTAAATACATAAATAGATGCCATAATAAATCTGGTAGTCTTTAGGGTGCCACAAGACTTTGTTGTTTTAGCAATTTCAAATCTATCACTGTTGTTCATAAGACCACAGCTGTAAACAGTTTGGAGCATACTTTGCTGAACTGATTCCTCTGAAGCATTTTTGAAACATCAAAGGTGTTTTGCATCCAAGCCTTGATTCAGGGCTTTTCCTTCATGCAGTTGATATTAATAGTGAAGCAGGTGCTCCGTGAAAATGCCCAGTTGTGTGAAAGCATTTTGCCGTACAATTATTTTCTCCTCAGAAAGGGGGGCGGGGAGGCAGCAGGAAGGAAATGTGTGGAGAATCCAAAAAGCTCAAAGACATGTTTGAAACCATCATGGCCTAAAAGCAGTCACCCAGCCCTGCTCCCAATAAAATGATTGCAGTTTTTAAAAGTGGCTTCTATGAGTTCTAATCTCACAGCTGAAGACTTTTGAAATTCCCAGTCAGTTTCTCTCATGTGTGGGGGGTTAAACATTTCAAAATAATACCTTACTCTGGACTAGGCAGTGACTATGTTTGTGAAACCATATACAACAAACCATCTTCCTTTTAACACAAGTGTGGCTTTTCATGCTGAAGGAACTTCCCACCTCTAGTGTGACAGTATAACGTCTGGGCATGATTTAAGGCAAGCAGAAAGAACGCTAAGAGTCTGAAGTGAAGTTATTCAAAACCAGAGAAGAATTTTAGGTAATGGAAAAGCTTGAAGACTGATAGGCAGCTGTCTCCTCCAGCTTCAGTAAATTAGGCCTTCGGAGTTACGGCTGCTGACAGCTACCTTAACATCTGTCTGGTATTTTTAAGGTGATAACATGCAGCTGATGTCTTTGATCTTAATGGAAAATGCACATCAGTCGCAACACTTGGAGAGGCCCCATTTTTGGATAGAAGCGTTTACCAAGCAGGAAAAATTGCTGAGAATCTTTTCAGTGTACGGTCAGAAGAGAAAAGGAACTAATATTTTAAAAAAATTCTCCAAACAGGCTTCCCTGCAGAAAAGATTACCAGTGTGGCCAAAAGCCCACCCTTTTCCACACAAGAGCAATTCCAAACAACCTCGAACCTTGTTTTTCAAAAGGATACTACGGTGAAAGGTATTCGCTCCTATTTCAGTGACATGAGCATTTGCCTCATACAAACTCTGGTTTCAATGTCTCTCAGTATTTGTCTTTAACTAACCACAAGGGCTCAAGGAATGCCTCTAGTTTTCCATGTTCCTACAGCTCAATATGCTTTCAATTATTTTCCTGGCAGAGGTAAAGAAAGGGGGTTTGATAGTCTTAGGTCCTTATGTCAGGAGCATATAAATGTGCCTTTTTTAGAATGATACAAATATCGCTTTCTTCTCTGACTGTCTGATATAGTAGCAATTTCTAAAATGAAAGAGCAGGCTTTTCTTACAAGCACTGAAGAAGACATTTGAAGACGGGAAGCAATGCCTTTTATCTGTGCGTCCCTTGTCAATATTCTTGGGCTCCTACCTCCCACTGAGGGAGTCAAAACTGAACCAGTCCTGAAATCTGGGCTAAATGTGTATTTATTTTTTTCTTGAACTGGAACAGAATATGAGCAATTAGTTGCAAGTGTGCTGAACCTGAGCCAGAACAGAACCTAATGAATAGGTGCAGGTTAATGCTTCAGAATATCAGCTCAAAAATATGTCTGTGTACACACTATACATTTAAAGTATATGACTTCCCCCAAAGGATTGTGGTAACTGTAGTTTGTCCCTAACAGAGCTACAATTCTCAGCACTCTTAACAAACCACAATTCCCAGATTCCTTGGCAGCAGCGGCAGCGATGCCAGCGCCAATGCGATGCCACTGCCAATGCAGACCTCACTCCAGACCCCTCTGCAATGCTTCCACTTCTGGGACACAGTGCCCTTCCAAGCGTGCTCTCCTGAGCATATGCGTGCCCCCCAACCTCCCCATTAAAAAATAATAATTAGAAATGCTCCCAAACCCCAGACATTTGTATAAAATGCAAAAATCCACCCAGATGGGCATACTGCCCCCCCAAAAGAGGACATGTCCAGACATATGGCAACCATAATATATGCATGCAAATTTATAAATAATTATATGAGACATCTCACTATAGTGTGGAAGACTGTGGCCATGTGACCTGTGTCTGCTGTTCGAGTGCTAAAGAAATAACTGTTGATGGGCATCTTCAAGACTTTTGTTCTCCCTTCTTGAAGTTCTTTGTCTTTAACCTGGCACAGGATCCTTCAAACAGACAACTGTCCTCTAACAGCCCTCTGAACCGACGAATGTCTTCTGTAACATAGGAAGGGAACTTGTTTGAACCGAAGGCCCTCTGGCCAACTACACACACTGCGAACACTGGATATAAAACAGCTCAGGATTAACAGACATCTTGGTTAGTTTACAGCCGTGAGCTCGATGCAGAATTGTAGCAGCTGACGTAATGGAATCCGCAGAGTCAATACCAAAAGAAGAAACTGAAAAGTAGATTAAAATAAGAATAATCTAGCCATTTGGATTATTATGCTTCCAAATACCAGGAAATAGCTTGGAAATTGCTTTCAGGTATCATGTTTACTAAAATTGCTTTCCTGTATCATGTTTACTAAAATGCAGAGTTATTATCACCTACCGGGGGGTAACTGGATATAGACTGTAGTGTTTGTAACATAAGAATTATTGATGGAGCAGTGAGTTAAATGCAGGCTGCCACAGAGTGCTTGAGTGTGCTTTTCCCTTGCAGGTGAATGCAAGCATCCTTTCTGTGAGTTTACTGTACTATTTAATGCAAAAGGTAGGGGTGATTATTCCTTGACTATCAGGATTAGAGAAGTTTGTTAAGCATAACAGCTATGAGTCAACTTCATACTCTTTTATCTTCCACTTAACTGATTTCACGCAAGCTAGGATATCCGTACCAAGGAAGACGCCAATAATATCTACTCCCTTTTCTGAACTCTAATTTTGCAGATCCTTTTAAGAACAGAAAGGTATATGATGCACACATTTGGTCTGCCAAAAGGTCCAGCAAGCATTTCAGGTATCAATGAGTGCTTTTGTTTAAAGGACACTGAAAAAGACACCATATCTCACAGACGTTTCCTATTAGAAAGTACATTCCTAATTTTACCCAAGTATATAGAGATGCTGTGCTCTGTTGAGAAGATGAAATTTTGGATAAAATGTGTTTCAGGCCTCCTGCAAAGTGAACTTATCCAAGTAACTGGTCCCTTCAGCTGAACTAGAAATAGTACTATTAAAAGTGATGGGAACCATTTAATAGGGCTGTAAACCCGAATACAAATTCCTTAAATTCCTTAAGTTCCTAGTTGTATTAAACAAAACAGGTCCCAATTGTTTGTTCATCCTTTTCAAGGCCCAGGGAAATCCCTGGGTTCAAATTGGCTAATAATAATAATAATAATAATAATAATAATAATTGTACCCCAATCATCTAACTGGGTTGCCCCAAAGGTTTAGCTACTGTAGAATTAATTCAGCTTCACACTGTGATGTTGTACAAACAGTAAACATACAAAAAAATGCAGTAATCACATTAACACTATTGTCTAAGACATTGATGTCACAGGACTTCAGTTTGGATGGTGTGTGACTCAGTTTGGCCCAACCCTGGATCAATTTGTGTCCAACACAATTGCAGCATCCACACCATTCAGCACTTATTATACCACTTGAACAGTCATGGAGAATCCTGGGAATTGTAGTTTGTAAAAGGTGCTTATCAAGGGTACCGCTGACCTCACAAAGCTACACTTCCCAGCAGGGCCTTTTTCCAGCCAGAACTCTGTTCTGGCACCTCTCAGGTGGGCACCATTGCCATTATAAGAGAACAAGGGAGGTGTTCATTGTCAGTTCTGACACCGCTTTTTCTCGATAAATAGCAGTTTCCCAGTACCCCGGGACACGCCCTGGGTAATAAGATGTTGCGCACCACTGCAGCAAATACAGTTGCACAACTACATTGTAGGAGAGATGGATATGACCATGCCTTGTTCCACTGAGATCGCATGAAATACTATTATTCTGGATACACATGTCAATGCAGATATATATCTGCATCTGATATAGGAAACAAGATCGCCTGTGGCTAAAGGTAGGGCAAGACCTTCCGTCTTCTCCTCGGAAACCATCTTTGTTTTTGTGATCATGCAATCAGCAAGAAACTCAAGGAGTTTTGTGAGTACTCATAAGGAATGATTGCAACTGCAAAACCCAGGTGATGGACTCCTCCTCCCTTCCATTGCACATGGGGGTGGGGAGGTAAGGCAACAGAAGGAGCAAGTGTCTGGTTCCTCAGACTCCAGATTTTTAGATAATATTTCAGATCATGCTCAGAAGTGTCACTTTAACTTCTGGAGTTGGTTGTGCCAGCCAGTGGTGAGGCCCTCTGTCACTGGTTGCCCTCCCCTTTGTGAAGGGGAGAATCTGTCAGATGAAGGGGTCTAAAGTTGTGGCCTTTTCTTGAAGTTCAATCCATAGATGACCCCAGTGAGAAAGCCTGCGTCTGTATGTGGACCTCTATTACTGGCTCTGAATAATAGGACAAAATAGCTGAAGAGAGCCCATGCTGGGTCAGTTCAGGCCTTGGTCACTGCTTGCCAAACTGAGCCTGATTTAAAGTTTGGTTGCTGTCATCCCTCTGATAAGCATGACAGATAGGGTTGCGCATGGGACAGAACATTTGGTGTTCTTTAGCTGACACCTTTTATCTTTAAAAGAAAGTTGCATAGCGTTGTTGCTTTCTTTTTGCAGACTTGTGATTTGTACATTTTGTTCTAAGAAAGAAAGAAAGAGTTAAATTATTTGTACTGCTGGTCTAACCCATGCATCATCTCATGCTGTACCACTCATGCCAGTGCAACAGTGGGATGCAATTTGTAACTGAAACCGCTTCATTCTAATGACAGCAAACAGCCCAAATGGCATTTAAATGGGAATGGAATTTAAAGTAAAGGAATGGAATGTTATTCTTTCTCAACTCATTGGGGTGGAGGGAAGATTGGGCAAAAGTAAGTTCTCCTGCATGCCTCTCTGTTGAAATGAATAGGAGCTGCACAAGAGCATGGCTACAAACACATGCTGTTCTGTAGTAATTCCATACAGGGCCAGCCCTATTATTAGGAAGAGTGGGGTGGCTGATTTGAGGTGTCATGAAAGGCTAGCTAATTGTTATTTATTTAATTATAATTTTACTGCCCCAGGAGGGTGAAGGTGTTTGTTAGATTTTCTGTCTCAGGCACCAGAACAATTTGACCAGCCTAGGATATCATGCACTTTGACTGCGGGGCAAAGGTGTTATTTATCATTCGTACATTGAATAAAACTCATTTATCACGCTCAAGACAGAGCGCTTTCTAAGGCAGGGTACAAGAAAGTAGAACAATATAAATACTCATTATATTCTGGGTCTAGGCATGCTTCTTCAGAAAATATCCAAATCAGTCTGAAAACAGCTGTTTTCAGTCTCAGATCCAAAGCTGCCCACAAGGGAAGCCATGGCAATTGGATATACTCATTGCAAAGCCAAAATGACCAGTTACAAGCTTTCTGAAGCTCAGTAGCCTTCTATTAGTTTGCCTTTGCTTTGAAGTTGAGAGCAAGGCAAAGCACCTCTCTGCTTATTGAAGGCAAGGGCAACCCACTACATTTTGCTGCCTGGGCCGAGTGGATAAGATGGTATATCGCCCATTTCAAGTACAGAAACCTGTCAGATTGCCAGTTTGAACCTCCAGCACTGGCAATAGGACCAAGGGGTGGCAAGGTAGTTGAAAGGGTGGAGAGTGGACCACCTGGTACAGACAGGTCTGTACTGCTACAGAGGGAGAGAGGCTCAAGCAGAATGGTATTGACTTCCTCACATGCACACATACGCATAGTGCCTTGCTGCCTGAGGCAGCAGCCTCACTCTCCCTAATTGTAGGGTCCTGCCGGAGGCTCATGCTGACTGAAGGAAGCATGTGAATTAGTTACCTCTCCTAGAGGCCACTGCATCTGTCAGTCACGGAACTGATCCTGTGTTTTTATGGAATTGTACGGGTTGGGGATGGTGTAGAGCAGGGATAGGAAACACTTTTAAGTCTGAGGCCAGATTCAAACCTGGCCAACCTTCAGGGGCAAGAGGCAAAAGGGGACAGGCAAAAGTGGCTGGGGTCAAAGGTTGCCAAAGCAAAAAATAAATCAATAAATACAGTGAGGCAAAAAATGCTGGAAAATTGCATTTTACATAATGTTGTGTGTTCTAGAGACATTATCTGACTTCATACCCATGCAACGCATGCTGGGGCCCCTCCATCTTAGGCACGACAGCATCTTCAAAATAATACCATTGTGTAATAAACCTGTTTGCTGCATAGGAGCATTATTTATACTTACTGCCTCTGATTCGACTGTTAAGGTAGGAAACTCCACAATTTATTGGTCAGGCCCTCCGTTTCTAGACAATTGACAAGCATTCTCCAGAATCTGCAAATATGTCCTGTTTTCATGAAACAAATGCCGTCCCTTCTTGTGGGGCGGGGGTGCCAATTCATCCCCACAAACCAGTTTTTGGAACAGCATATTAAAATGCATTTGGGTTAAATGTACAGCTACGCTCATGATCACACAGCAAAATGCCGAAGGCACTGTAACAAGCAGGGGAGCAGGGATGGGTAACTTGCCCCCCTCCAGCTGCTGTCGGACTCCAATCCCCCCTGACCATCGGCCTCATGGACCAAGGTTGATGGGAGCTGTAGTTTGTCAGCACTGAAGGACCACAGGTTAGCCGCCTATGGGCTGGAAAGAGGATCACTACTGCAGGAAGAACGCTGAACTAAATATCTGGTTGCAATGAATCCAGAATGATTCAGTGTGTGGTGGCTTGTGGGGAAAGGGGGAAACTATTTTTCTTCTGCTGCTCAGAACGGTAGGAGCTAAAAGCCTTTCATAATGAAAAGTATACAGAATGACAACAGCAGAGGCCAGCTCTCAAGCCTATGTATAAACATAATTGCTCGATTTGGGGTTTTGGAACGTTTGTTCCTCCAAACCTTATACTCCTTTTTTTATTTTCAAATAGCATGCCCCCTGCCAAGAAGTTACATTTTTTCCTCTCTTTAAAATAAGCAGTGAGGGCAATGGCATGATGAACAAATTTCATTTCTTCTGTTCCATTTTTTCCATCTTTAATACAGCCTCCAGCAGGCCAAATGGCACCAGTGCAATTGCTAGTAAGTCAATACATCTGGCTGCATTCCTGAAATGACAAATCTGATGGATAGAACTCCAGCTCCTATACAAAGCCTCTTTTCAGAATGCTCTCTCCCTGGTACTTGTCTGCTTGGAGCAAAACCTAATGTGTGAAAACAAAATAAAAATCAAGCTCTTTCACCACCCCGTGCTAGTGTTTCATTTTCAGTGGGCTAATGTTATTATTAACACAGCTCTCTCGTGCTGCCCAGATTCTGCACCTCTGCCTGGATACGATGAGAGCTTTCAATTTGGCACCAAGGAGATGAGCGGCTGTTCTGAGGGCTCCTTGCTTTGCTACGAAAGCATGACATGGCACACTGCTAAGTGTCTAGAACTGATCAGTATCCGAAGAGATACTGCTTTGCTCACCAAAAGCAATGTGATTGTGTTGGAAATTGCCAGTGGTGAGGAATGCAAGCATGCAGGGAGGCGTTTTACCTTTCAGCTTTGATGATCTTTCAGCAAGAAATTATGAGCTAGACATCATGTGTGACCTTGTGACTGTATATGGGGAACAATCTGTCAGCACATCACTGGGCTTTAGTCTGTGAAGGATTCAGCACATGCCCATGGCATGAAGGTGGGATACTTGGCATTCCATTACTTTAAATTTAATGAGCAACTAACACCAGATCTGTATGAACTGGATTGGCTAAGGAGCCAATATTGACCTTTAATGTTTTCTATAGTCTGAGACCATGTTGCCTCAAGGATTACCTTCACCTGTCTGGACCAGCGCAACCCTTAAAACTGGCCATGGTGGGCCTGCTCTTTGGTTCATTGGGAGTAGACATGCCTCGTGGCTCATTAGAGTCAGTACCACAACTCTGAAATATCCTCTGTGAGAAAATCTAACAGATTCTACTCTTCCTACTTCCAGATGGCCTATGAGGACAGACATTCATTATTGGAGTTTTTAAACTATTTGAACGGCTCTTGTGCCGTCTTATCTTTCATTATTATTTTCTTATTATATTGCTTCTGTTTTACGATAATTTTTTATTATTTAGATAAATACAATTTTTTTTTATGTAGAAAAGTGGGATAGGAACCTTCCTCCTACTCCTGGTCCATGGAATCAGGGTACCCCATTAAAAGGATTCAGGGCCATAGCGCCCACAAAATGGTGATTTCAGAGGAGGGGGTTGCCCTAGTTTGATGTACATCATAAAGCGATTCATATCCTTGGTTAATCCTGCCAAATAATCAACCAGCAGAAGAGGTTAGTTGATTCAGACTACACACCCAATGCCTGCACCAAAACCTGATGACATCTGTAATCAATAACGTTGTGGCCTGTTTAAGTCCCAAGTGGTTGTCCTGCGTTTACTGCAAGTTCACCATGCCTTGGCCCCACCACCTGTGGCTTCACTGCCCCTGGACCCACACACTGTCCTTCCAATAACTTCCTTAGGATTTAATTGACTGCCCTCAGAAGTTTTGTGGTACCTTTGTGGAAATGTGTTTCACCTCTAGATTAGAATGAACAGGAAGCCGCCTCCATCCTAAGAAATGTTTGCACTAAAGGAGATAGGAGGCATATCCCAGAACCTCATGTCTCTAGACTTCTTGGGACTCCTCTCAGAACCAAACCTCATTCTCCCACTGCCTTCAGAGGAAAAAAATGTCTGTTGGCAGGTACAGTCTGAATCCAAACCTAATCTCCAAACAGACTGCAAACCCCCAGACCTGCAAACCCACCAGCCAGATCTAATTGCTCACCTTTGACATGGGCTTTGCTTTTTGAAATAAAACAAATAAAGGAAAACAAATGTTGAATTAAAATTTGCCCATTTGAATGCCACAACATGAAGATGTTATTTTCAAAAAATGCATTCTCAAAATGTAATATTTCAACATGAAATATTAGATAGCCAGGCAAAATGTCCAGTTCATCACATTCAGAGCTATTCCACTGAATTTTTTCTCAAATGCATGTACTTTTTTTTCCAATGGTATGTTCCTTGATCCCCCTTCATCCAGGAAATCCTGGACAAATGATGTAGCTTCTTCCACAAAGACATGACATTTCTTTGTATTTCTTGGCCACACAGAGTGAGGGAAAGGGGCGAGGCTTTTACAAACATCAGAAACACTCTACTATTTCTGTAGTGAATTTTGTCCAATGATACATAGATTTCCCTGTCCAATATAACTACTGTAGTAAATACTGAAAACAGTGACAAGAAACAACAAGCACAGATCTGTACAAACTCAGGAGAGTAAAGCAGCCTAACATTAGTCCCTTTAACTCATCAACAAACTGAATAAGGTAGCAGTAAATCTGTAGGTTTAAACCCAGCAGAAAGTATTGTGGGTGTGGAGATGACACCCCAGTTAATGGAGCAGAAGGGGCACCAGCGTACCAGTGAGAGGCAGTGTAGTGTAGTGGTTAGAGTGTCGGACTAGAACCTGGGAGACCAGTGTTCAAATCCCCATTCTCTGGGTGACCTTGGGCCAGTCACTCACTCTCAACCAGACATACCTCACAGAGGTGTTGTGGTGGTACAATGGGGAGGAGGGGAACTATGTATGCCACCTTGAGATCCTTCGATTGGGGGGGGGAGTGGGATTCACTGTTGTTGGCATCTGTCTGTCTTGAGAAACAGTGGAATGCGCCTCCAGGAGTGAAGTCAAACCACTGTGTTAGCAGCACCCAAGTGACCTCTCTGGAGCACAGACCTGGGCAGTGTGTATGGAGGTCCTGGGCTGCCCAGACAATAAGATCCACCTCTCAGCCTCACTGATGTGGTCCAAAGGAAAGCAGAGCAATACGTTTGGCACCAGCTTGGTTGCAGGAATGGCTGGAAGGAGGCATACAAGGCACTATCTAACCGTCTTAGGGGAAGCACTCTGGATTTGTGTAGGGTTTATTCTTAAACTGCAGCAGTAGTTTAGGATCAGAGTTGAAACTGCCTTCTTGTCTGCTGGGCCCACTATTGGTCTCATCTGCTCAATCCACCAGAGCCTGTCTTTGCATGCCGGGGAAGTCACACCAAGGGTTCAAGACCTACTGGCTACCCTCACTTGGTTTAGCTGGCCAGTTGAAGCCATTCCTGGGGTGTGGACGCTGTCACATGCTGACAGTTTCTAGGAGCCACAGGTGAGAGCTGGGAGCAGGGTGGACGGCAAAGGTGCACGAACTACCCCAGAAGGAGCATGACATTTCCCCAGCCAGAGGTACTGCCGCTCCCCTAACATCCTATACACCCCTCGTTGGGGTACAAATATAATAAAATAAATAAAGTGAGCCTGAGAGTTTTTAAAAAGTGAAGCAAGGAACCTTTGCAGAGGGGAAGTGCAAGCATTCAGAAGTTTCCATCTCCTTCACCCAGGACCCTTTCCCTCTTAAAATCTCTTGCTCTCTTGGCTCTCTTCTCTTCCATTTACTTTCCCTCTTATACACGTACCTTTCTACTATATTGCAACTGAACTGAGACTTATGTCTATTTTGGCCCTGAGGCCTTTATCAATAGTTCCACATTCTAGGTGATGCAGAGAGCAACCCAGGTAATGGCCAATGAGCCTAGCTCAGCAAGTGCAGCAAGAGGCTCTTAATCTCAGGGTCGTGGGTTTGAACCCCACATTGGGCAAAAGATTCCTGCATTGCAGGGGGGTTGGATTTCATGACCCTCGTGGTCCATTCCAACTCTACAGTTCCATGATTCTATCATCTAGATAAAGTGATAAATACATATTGAGACATCTAGATTGACAAATAATATGCCAAGCTGTCTGCACCGTAGTATTTTGGGGAACCACTGGGGAGCACTTGTCTCACAATAAGTGTGTTTACATATTACATTTAACACAATAGCTGAGCAGCAGAAATCAACCAGTGTACCCCCTTTCACACAAACACTTGTAAACGTGAAGAGACACCTTGTACCTGTGTTCAGTATAATGTGTGAACAAGCCTTTTGTGCAAGCTTGGGCACTTGTCGATGCTTTGAAGCGTACATACAGAATGCTGGATTGCAGTAGTGTTGTGATTTAAGCAAACTGATGATTTTGAGTATTTAAGAGGAACTGAATGCATGCAACTTCATTCACAAATGAATTTAAGGTGCGGCATAGCTTATATGTAGTGCAGCTTCCAGATTTGCACCCCATTATGATGTCTATCATCTGGAGATGAAATAGAAAACTAGAGGTTGCTATCTAGACAACAGCAAACCGTGGCTGCAAAAAATAAAGGCGCTTTTCAAGGTTCATTAAGCACTAATCAATGCCTAGATTAAGACTAAGGAATGACAAGTCTCAGACGATTTGAAAGGGTGTGTTTCATGCTGTTAAGAAATTCAAGAGCCAGACAAGGCCGTCCCGCAGTCTATTTAATTTAACAGATAGTCATCTATTATACATTTCTTAGAGGACTGAGAGCGTACTGTATGTCTTTCTCAAAACTTTAGAGCACACAGTAAAAAGAGTAGGAAAGAAAACAATCTGAGTGAAAGGAACACAATTTTGGAAAAGGACCAGCTTCCTTCTGTTCCCCAGCCCCCAGAAAAACCACCAATTAAAGTGACATTACTGCAGAACTGTGCCGGAAAGCCAAGTGGATGCTGCTTGGATCCAGTCAAGCAGTTCACAGACTGATGGAAAGAACTGTTCATACCACATGCATTTAGCAGTTACTTGACCTCATCCATGAACACCGACTTTTGCCAACAAAAAATTAAAGTCAATATCCCTATTTATTTCATATGCTTGTTTGGTGTTTGCTGAATGGGATATGCACCGGGTTTTTATTCAAGTGCTGGAAAGAATGTGAGAAAGATTGGTCAACATGTATGTTTATGCTTTGTCTCTGTTCCACAATCGAAAGGGTTGTCTATGGCAGCCATCATTTCTGTGCTGACTAGTATTAGTCAGGGTCCAGTGCTAGCAGTGTAATACCTGTCACCATGATGTGTGTGAAAGAGATAAATACCTGCCATAATGCAATGGAGTGGTTTCTCTCTCTGCTCTGTGAATTTCGTCCCGTCCCCCACCCCATCCGCAGCAATATTTTGAGCCTCCTGGCATACTTAACTATTTAAGAAAATAGGGAGGGGGGTGTTCCTGTGGGACTCCTTTCAGATCTGTCAGTTTGTCAGCTACAAACGATATATTGAATATTTTGTCATTTTCCACTTAAACCTGCAACAGCTATGATGCATATTAACTATCTTCTGCCCCTCATGAGAAATTGTGAAGGAATTTATAGTGTTTGGGGTTTGTTTGTTTTTTTAAAAAATATATAAATACAACTTTTAAAACATAAAACTAGAAAATAATAATTAAAAGTGTGTATTTTCACACATGTGTGTATTTTCCGCCAGACATCTCAGGTTTATTTCTCTATGAAAATTAGGAAAACTGTTCTTCCCCACTCCTGAATCTTATAGCACTGCTCTGACGGCAGCCTTGACAGTGTGACGTGATGCATGTTTCGTAAGAGAAAGTAAGTCCCATTGTGCCCAATGGGATTTACTACCTGGTCAGTATATTTGGGATTGGACCCTAACAGTGCAACCCTATACATATCTCCTCAGACGTGAGTCCCACTGAGTTGAATGGGGCTTACTCTCAGGAAAGTGGGGAAGGAATTGCACTTACCTGGGTAAAGTGGTGCTTTTCAGACTGTGTTCTTAGGAAGGCTGGGACCCCATAGAATCCTATCACAGTTTTCTCAGCGAGAAAAACCTTGTTCAGGTGTTATGCCAGTTCATTCTGTTTTGTGACTTTTAAAAATGCAGTTGTTTTCAATTGCAAATTATATTAAATATTTTATTGTCCAGAGAATTTGGTTGAGTGAACGGCATATAATGTGACAAATATATGATTCAGCTTTGCTGTTAGACACAAAATCATGTTAACAAATAGGCTACTGCCAAATTTGTATCTTATGCTACCAATATTTAGTTAGTTTCTGAATTCTTCCTCCTAGCAGTTCTTCACCTTTTCACTGCCCTGAAGCCCCACTTCTCATGAGGAGCTTTTAAACTTCCTCCACATTTAAAAAGAGGCATTTTTGTTGCTTCTTTGGAAAAAGACACACCTCAGCTCTGTGCACCTATCAGCCCATTGTATGTTTTCTTTCTGATTCTGGGCCACCAGCGCCCTTTGATCACAATAAGAGAGATACATTTGCAGCATTTACTTGCTGGCGAAGTTTTAAATGGCTCCATTTATTTGCAATTGAAGGTGTACCCAGCCTTAGAAAGACATTCATCAAATAAAGGCAACACATAACTTTCCCATTACCTAGGTGTAGCCTGAAACTGCCACTATACAATTTGAAGAAAAAAACAAAAAAAGCTATAACTCAGCTTGCAATCTGGCTCCCATGCCCATTAAAGCTCAGTCTAAATATAATTTTGACTGCCACCCCCAGCCTTTATAATATACTGTTCAGTTTTACATGTAAACTCATAAATGCTCTATAGCACATGGTACTGGTGGCTACCCAGAAAAACCTGAAAAGGGTGGGTGTGTTGCCTTAAGATACTATTGTGCTTTGAGATAAGCCAAGCAGCAAACAAAGCACACTTTATAAGGAGCTGGCATAGCTGCTGCCTGCCATTTCAAGCATCTGAATGGGAAAACAGCTCTGGATATTTATGACAAATGTCTTGTTTCCTGATTTATGTTAGTACCATGCTGTGCTCGAGCCGATTTTGGTCAGAGAATGGAGCTAATAGGCTCGCAATTCTTTGCAACTAATTGAATGTGAATTGCACTGGGCAGAGAAAAACCTGACTGAGAGCAAAAGCCAGTGATGTTGAAAGGCTAAGGGAGCATGTTGGTAGGAAAAAGCAGGAGAAGAATCCACAGTGAAAGCACTTGCGAAAAAATCAGGAATGACCACAAGGATGGAGCGCCTGACTTGGAGCCAAAAATCTTTTTACATTTTCCAGTCACAATATCAAATTCTTAGCTTCCATATCTGGATATCTGACATTCGTAATGTGCAGCAGGCAAAGCCCCCTTTTCTATAAATTCAGAGTATGCAGGACTTAGGAAAATAAGAAATGGGCAGTACAAAATGGATTGGTACACTTTTTCGGGTATGTAGACATGTTGAATCAATCACATTAGAATCAAGCCTGGCATAGAATTTATCCTGCAAAGCTAGAGTTAAGCTCTGGCAGAACAGGGGTGGCTAAGCTTTTAGGGGCTAAGGGCCACATTAACTCATGGTGAACTCTCTGGGGGCAACATGGCAACTTGGGTGTGGTCAAAATGTTGAAGTGGGTGTGGCTAAAGTGTAAAAGCAGGCGTGGCAAGAGCTGTTTAACAATTAAAGCCATAAGCAGCCATCAAGCGGTTTGATGCTCACAAACATTTCAAAGAACATTTGGAAAGAATTTAGAGGTAGCTTCAGCACAGACTTCCATTTAGCAACAAACTGCTCCTGTGTAGGAAACAGATATCTAGGGACTGAGAAAGGAGTCAATTTCAGAAGTGCCGAAAGGGTATGCTGGAAAACGAAGACAGTTAGATTTCCATCAGTTATAGGATAAAAGTCTTTGGGACTATTTTAAGGGGTGAAATGGGAGAGCCCACTTTGAAAAGCTTGATTAGAGAAAACCAGAAGGATTTCTTAACAGGGAGAGTCACGCTTCACTTGGCTATTGGAATTCATGAAAGTTTTCCAGCAGCTATGGGATATCGTACACCAGCTATATTTTCTGGCTATATCATGCAGTCATTCTCCACATTTAACTTTCTTAAGTATAGGGAAAGGATAAGTAGATGGCATGGGAGCTACGCAAAGCAAAATGTGCTTAAGCCTTTTGGGAAAGGTCGGGTTTGTGAAAATGCAACCCTGACTCACGGAGCTAATTGCATATGTAATGATCATGGTTCAGACGGAGGGTGGAGGAAGCTGAGACAATGAAAAGGCACTTTCCATGAATTCAGCATTGAAAGCAGTTGGCGTAGTAAAACCTCTACCACCAATGAGATGTTTCTCTCCATGCAGTTGAGAGCGTATAGAGAGAGACAGCAGACACACTCACCCAAGCCCTGTAGTCACAGCTGATTCCACAGAGCAAGATGGCTTCTTGTTGAGATTTCCACAAATGCATAGGCATGCTATGCAATCCTATCCACTGTTCTTGCCATTGGGTTCAGTTGGGCTTCCTTCCAAGAAGGCATGCACAGGATTTAAGCTACATTTTAGTAACCAGAGCAAATACTTTTCTCCTTACATATCATAATGAACACATCTGAGCCCCCACATAATCGTTCCATTTAAATATTGACACAGTATAGTAGACATTCTGCCAGGTCCTGTTTTCTTCGCAATTAAGTGTTAGATAACAGAACATATGTACCCAGCTGGATACAGAAACCCAGAATTTCTGAACAGCGTCCCAGTTTCAGGAGCCGGCATGGAGTCAAAATGACCTCTCCCTTGCCAGTGCTAACAAATTTAGATTAAATATACAGATACAGAATTCATTGCCTGATTTATTGTCAATACAGTGTTAATATTTGCATCCACAGGATCTGACATTTTTTGGGTACCAAAGTGAAGCAGCACATCAACCATTTGACAGTGCTGGGCTGAAAAGAAGCTGGGGATTTGCTTCCAGAATGACCTGGAAAACAGTGGAACAATTGGAAAGGTTTACTTTCTAGGTATGAAAAATCATGGTAGGCCCAGTAAATAAAGCTTTGAAAGAAGAATTTAAAAATGTAGATTAGGTGTGTAGACCCAGTGACCCTCCAGATAATAATTGGCTACAATTCTCACTGGCCCTGACCACTGGTCATGCTGGCTGAAACTCTTGAAATTTGGAGTCTAATAACGTCTGGAGGCCCTACCCCACATGCAGATCTTTCAAATGCTTAAGATTCTACCCCAAACCATTTTCTGGTGGGATTAAAGGGCATTGCTTCCAAGTAACTATGTTTAGGAGTGGGTTATAGAATCATGCTAGCTCCTTACATATCATAGCTCTGCACACTGCCACCAGGCTCCCCAAAGAGCATCCATTTGATCTTCATTTGAAAGAGTTCTCCCTCCAATACAGAGTGTGTGCGGAGAGGGACTGTGTATAATCTTGATTTTAATAGTGGCTTACAGGGAAATAGTTCAGCAACCCTTGCCCACTGTTGCTACTCCAGTCGAATTCACAACCCCTTTTTCAGGGTTTTTTGTATTTTGTTTTAAGGGGACTCCTGGATCTCATCTATTTTGGCCCGGATTTAAAGAATATATTTTCAAAGAGCTCTAGTTTTAATTCCATAGTATTACATCAGCTCCACACACCCAATGTCTATGATCATCAGCCCAGCAACAGTTAAAAGTGCACCATACTTAGATTATTATTTTTTGAAAGAAAGAAAGAAAGGGGATTTATTTCACACAGTCTTCTAGTCTAGTCATAATAAAACATATTTTGAAGTTTCAAAAAGATTCATTCACTCTGGTTGTTGCAGGGTATCAATCGCCATCACAAACACAGTGCATTTACTCTATATGACCACTGTTTCTTCACAGAATAATTTCTTTTAAAAAAACACTGAATGCATATTTGTATGAAAGAAATCTTTGATTCCATTTATGCAATGCAGCTGTGAAGTCAAAAGGGCCATGTATTCTT